TTTTTTACCCTTTAATATCCCACCTACCCACTTTTTTTACCCTTTAATATCCCACGTACCCATTTTTTTTTACCCTTTAATATCCCACGTACCCACTTTTTTTACCTTTTAATATCCCACATACCCACTTTTTCTTACCCTTTAATATCCCACGTACCCACTTTTATTACCCTTTAATATCCCACATACCCACTTTTTTACCCTTTAATATCCCACCTACCCACTTTTTTTACCCTTTAATATCCTACGTACCCACTTTTTTTTACCCTTTAATATTCCATGTACCCACTTTTTACCCTTTAATATCCCACGTACCCACTTTTTATACGACTGCAAACATTTTTTTGGGATCGTATGATGTCTGCATTGTCGTCGTCCAAAGACACATTGGCTTCTGGACAATAACTTTAGTTTAAGTGAATGGATCTCTATGAAATTTTTTAAGAAGGTTGAATACCACAAAAGGAAGGTTGGGATTGATTTTGGGGATGATGGCCCAAACCGTTAATTAGGGGCCCAAAAGGGGCCCAAAACAAGCATTTTTCTAGTTTCAGGATAATAACTTGTGTATAAGTATTGCGATTGCTCTGAAATTGTACCACAATGTTTAATACCACAAGTAGAAGGTTGTGAATCATTTGAGGGGTTATGGGGCCAACAGTTTAGGAATTAAGGACCAAAAAAGGGGCCAAAAACAAGCATTTTTCTAGTTTCCAGACAATAACTTGTGTGTAAGTGTATGGATCTCTCTGACATTGTACCACAAGGTTCCATATAACAAAGGGAAGGCTGTGATTGAGTTTGGGGTTAATTGCCCCAAACATGTAGGAATTAGGGTCAAAAAAAGGGTCAAAAACAAGCATTTTTCTAGTTTCCAGATAATAACTTGTGTTTAAGTGTATGGATCTCTCTGAAATTGTACTACAATGTTCCATACTACAAAGGAAAGGCTGGGATTGAGTTTTGGGGTTATTGCTCCAAGGGGGGTTTCAAAAAGTTGGGGGGGGGGATTTTTTTTCCAATTTTTTTAAGGGATTCATATTTTTTTATAAAAAGTTTTCAAATTTCGAATTTTTGAAAAGTTTCAAGAAGAAATCTTCAATTGCACAGTATTGCGCAATAGATTTGTAAGATCTTTGACCACTTTTATTTTGTGTCAGAAACCTATATTATGTCAAAAATGTGATCACAATCCAAATTCAGACAGTATCAAGCTTGAATATTGTGTCCAAATTTGCCCAAACTGTTCAGGGTTTGACCTCTGCAGTCGTATCAGGCTGTGCTCAGCGAAGCATTTTATTTACCCCTATATCCAACATCCAAAAAGCAAGTCATCCCCCTCTACAATCAAATGTTAAGTAAACAGTTTCTTTCAATTGATGAATCTTGTGGAGTTTGACTTATTTTTATCTCACCTGGCCCAAAGGGCCAAGTGAGCTTTTCTCATCACTTGGCGTCCGTTGTCCGTCGTCGTCGTTAACTTTTACAAAAATCTTCTCCTCTGAAACTACTTGGCCACAATCATCATTGGGGTATCTAGTTTAAAAAATGTGTCCGGTGACCCGGCCAACCAACCAAGATGGCAGCCATGGCTAAAAATAGAACATAGGGGTAAAATGTAGATTTTGGCTTATATCTCTGAAACCAAAGCATTTAGAGCAAGTCTGACATGGGGTAAAATTGTTTATCAGGTCAAGATCTATCTGCCCTGAAATTTTCAGATGAATCTGACAACCTGTTGTTGGGTTGCTGCCCCTGAATTTGTAATTTTAAGGAAATTTTGCCGTTTTTATAATTTTTTGTGGTCATATATTGGTATGACGTTGGTGTCGTCGTCGCTGTCCGAAGACACATTAGTTTTCTCACTCTAACTTTAGTTTAAGTGAATGGATCTCAATGAAATTTTACCATAAGGTTCAATACAACAAAAGGAAGGTGGGGATTGATTTTGGGGGTTATGGTACTAATAGTTAAGGAATTAGGGGCCAAAAAGGGGCCAAAAATAAGCATTTTTGTAACTTCCAGACATAACTTGTGTGTAAGTGTATGAATCTCTCTGACATTGTACCACAAGGTTCCATATCACAAAGGGAATGCTGGGATTGATTTTGGGGGTAATTGCCTCCAAATTTTAGGAATTAGGGGGCAAAAAAACAAGCATTTTTCTAGTTTCATGACAATAACTTGTGTGTAAGTGTATGGATCTCTCTGACATTGTTTCACAAGGTTCCATATCACAAAGGGAATGCTCGGATTGTTTTTGGGGGTAATTGCCTCCAAATTTTAGGAATTAGGGGCAAAAAAGGGGCAAAAAACAAGCATTTTTCAAGTTTCATGACAATAACTTGTGTGTAAGTGTATGGATCTTTATGAAATTGTACTACAAGGTTCCATATCACAAAGGGAAAGCTGGAATTGAGTTTGGGGGTAATTGCCCAAAAAGTTTAGGAATAAGGGGCCAAAAAGGGGCCAAAAATAAGCATTTTTCTAGTTTCCAGACAATAACTTGTGTTCAAGTGTATGGATCTCTCTGAAATTGTACTGCAAGGTACCATACCACAAAGGGAAGGCTGGGATTGATTTTGGGGGTAATTCCCTCAAAATTTTAGTAATTAGGGGCCATAAAAGGGCAAAAAAACAAGCATGTTTCTAGTTTCAGGACAATAACTTGTGTGTAAGTGTATGGATCTTTATGAATTTGTACTGCAAGGTTCCATATCACAAAGGGAAAGCTGTGTTTGAGTTTGGGGGTAATTGCCCTAAACGTTTAGGAATGTTGGGCCAAAAAGGGGCCAAAAAACAAGCATTTTTCTAGTTTCCAGACAATAACTTGTGTTCAAGTGTATGGATCTCTCTGAAATTGTACTGCAAGGTACCATACCACAATGGGAAGGCTGGGATTGATTTTGGGGGTGATGAATCATAAGGGGGTTTAAAAAATTTGGGGGAGGGATTTTTTTTTCCTTTTTTTTCTTTAAAATTTTCCATTTTAAATTGGTTATTTCTGATTTATACATAAAAGCAAATAATAATGATATGGTTTGAATAGGTAAATTAAAATTTTTTAAGTTCTTAGACCACTTTCATTCTGTGTGAGAAACCTATGCTGTGTCAAATATTTAATTACAATCCAAATTCAGTGCTGTATCAAGCTTGAATGTTGTGTCCATACTTGCCCCAACTGTTCAGGGTTCGACCTCTGCGGTCGTATCAAGCTGCGCCCCAGCGGATCATTTTATTGGTTATTATCTTGAATATTATTATAGATAGAGATAAACTGTAAACAGCAATAATGTTCAGCAAAGTAAGATCTACAATTAAGTCAACTTGACCAAAATGGTCAGTTGACCCCTTAAAGAGTTATTGCCCTTTATAGTCAATTTTTAACCATTTTTCGTAAATTTTTGTAAACTTTTACAAAAATCTTCTCCTCTGAAACTACTAAGACAAATTTAACCAAACTTGTCCACAATCATCATGAGGGTATCTAGTTTAAAAAATGTGTCTGATGACTCCGCCCGCGAACCAAGATGGCTGACATGGCTAAAAAATAGTACATAGGGTAAAATGCAGTTTTTGGCTCACATCTCTGAAACCAAAGCATTTAGAGCAAATCTGACAAGATAAAATTGTTCATTAGGTCAAGATCTATCTGCTCTGAAATTTTCAGACCAATCAGGCAACACGTTGTTGGGTTGCTGCCCCTGAATTGGTAATTTTAAGAAAATTTTGCAGCTTTTGGTTATTATCTTGAATATTATTATAGATAGAGATAAACTGTAAACAGCAATAATGTATAGCAAAGTAAGATCTACAAATAAGTCAACATGACCAAAATTGTCAATTGACCCCTTAAGGAGTTATTGCCTTTTATAGTCAATTTTTTACAATTTTCATAGATTTTGTAAATTTTTGTAAATTTTTACAAAATATTTTCCACTGTAACTACTGGGCCAAGTTCATTATAGATAGAGATAATTGTAAGCAGCAAGAATGTTCAGTAAAGTAAGATCTATAAACACATCACCATCACCAAAACACAAGTTTGTCATGAATCCATCTGTGTCCTTTGTTTAATATGCACATATTACCAAGGTGAGCAACACAGGCTCTTTAGAGCCTCTAGTTTTATTCTGAAAGAGATGTGTTTGTTGTCTCATTGGCAATCATACCACATCTTCTTAGTATTATATGTGTTATCTGGTTGATGATGACATGATTCTTGTTTACTTGATTATTTTTTATTTGTAGCAGTATTGTCTTTTTGGTTTTGTCTCCAATATTTCTACCTGAACCTGTTCGAATTGTTCTACACTAGTCATTTTGGGGCCCTTTATAGCTTGCTATTCCGTGTGAGCCAAGGCTCTGTATTGAAGGCCGTACTTTGACCTATAATTGTTAACTTTTCACACATTGTGACTTGGATGGAGAGTTGTCTCATTGGCACTCATACCACATCTTCTTATTTATAGCTATAGGTATTATGGTCCTTATTTTCTTTTATATGTGTGGACCAACTCTCTGTCAGCACAAATTATAAAACAGCACATTGACCATTTAAGCTACAGTTCTGCAGCTTGAAATGTTTCAACGCACGGAAACCTTGACTATATGGTAAGCCAGAGGATTTGTGCCATAAAACCTGGTTCATCCCAAAGTACCAGAGATACCAAGTTATACAGTTGTTTCCCTCCCCCACCTTTTTTATATTACAAACCAGTTCAATTAGCATGGATTGGTTAGTATTTTTGTATTCTCTTTATATAAGTAATTCAGTCAACTTATAAACTTACATACAATCAAATAATTTACTGTAGATTCAATATTACATAAATATAGGATACTAAGTGTTCAAAAAATTCCTGTACTCTTTCGACTTCAAACCAACTTGAAGAGATCAAGTTTCCATGAAAATGCATTTTTTTCCTAAATTCTAGAGAATGCGTACTCATGAAAAAATAAATGAATCCAATGTATTCATCTCAAAAAAAAAGTCTTACCTGATTAATATATTGTATACAGCTTAAAAACATATAATCTTTTGAAAATCCTTCTACTATCTCTGGTTTGACAAAAGATTTTGGTAAAATTCTTTTATGACCTGAAACAAATAGATAATAAATTTATGTCCAATTATAAAAAGAATATTTCTAAATTTCTGGTTTTAAAGACTAGGCAAAATGACAATGATACATAAATTAACAAAGGACTACTAGCAGTTACTGACATGCCAGCTCCAGACCTCAATTAAACTGATTGAAAGATTATGTCATCATCATATGAAAATCAAGCACAATCCCTCCCGTTAGGGGTTTAGTATCATTCCATCATAAAATATATGAGAAGTACATAACCCGTATCAAAGCTTATTACAAGAAAAGATACAAAAAATCAAACCAAAAAAACACAAAATCCTTAATTTCAATCTGTATTTAATTTTTTATAAATTTATTTATACAATCAACTTGTCTCTTATTAGATAAGACAAATTACTAACATGCTCTTCATTTTAAAACTGTGCCCTTAAATTTCTATCTAGAACACTGAGTTTAAATATGTATGATTATGTATTTTAGAAAAAAAATTGGCATTTGTATCTATTAATGAAGAAAGCACTTGCTGACTATTACCTATAAGTTGTGCACTTCCCCATATAAATGCTATAAATTGAAAATCATCTAAACTCCAAACTCCTTGACTACCAGCTGGTTCCATTCTGTATGTCACTTGAAGTTTTCTTACAAGTTTTAGATATCTGCAATATCAGTTAATCTGTTCAATTTCAAAAGTTTTTTTTTTTTTAATTTATTAAATATGCATGTGCAACAATAAAGATTATACAGATAACAATGAGTTTTTATTCAGTTCTTGGAATACTGTAAACCAACTAATTTTTGCAACTTTCAAAAGAATGAAAATGATGTGAATATAAATCAATGCAAATCTGCTAAAACTTAGATCTTCCTTTATATGAATACAGCAAGGAAATTAGAAAAAAAGCGAGAGAGAAAAAAAATCATCACAAAGTTGACTAGAATGGGCTAAATGCAAAATAAAATATTGGTGAATATAGATTGGTTTACAGTAAATAATACCAAACTTGACATGAATAAATGCATTTCTCAGCTTGTACTCACTATAATCAAAGATTTTATATTCCAAAATTCAGCATGACTGTCAGGGTCAATAATGAGTTCCAACTGAATTAGAACCATTGAGCGCAAACTGCATTGTTATATAGTATGAATGATCCTAAAATGTACCTCTAAAAAATAAGTGGTTTTGCTGCCATAGAAGTTTTAATAGAATTCAGCTTCTTTCTGGAAACCATTTCATGGATCTGAAAATACCTTAGAATCTTTTAGTTTCATTCAGTTACTGATTTAACTAAATCAGGACTTTTCAACAGAGCAGATGGTGGCAAAAGCTCACATAGACATTTAGACTTATAATGTTCTAAAAATCATGTATCCTTACAACAAATAAACAAAAATCAATGATAAAAAAACTGTAAGCAATTTACTCAACAAACGTGGCCTAGCTAATCAGCTGGGGCTCTTTTCACAAAAAGATCCTACGATAAAAATTGATTGTTATACCAAAATGTCGTTGATTTACAAGTATTTTTTCTGGTAAGATTTTTTTGTGAAATGAGTCGCTGTGTTACTCACTTTAGACATTTCCAGAAATTTAAATGTCCCAATTTTATATTCTAAAGAACTTACTTTTCAAATATATTTAATGCTACCGCAACAGCATCTTTTTCTGATAAAGCTCCTATCTTAAACAGACAGCAGAGGAATGCAACAAAGGATAATTCATGACCTAAAATAGAAAGACATATGTTGTTTAAAATATAAGAAGTGCTTACTGAATATTTTTCATATGCAAGTTTCTTTCTACCAGAAAATATTTTTTGGGAGCATTTGATGTCACTGATATTTGAAAATGAGGCAAACTTAAGTTAAAATGCGGAAACAAAAAAATTTGCAATTTTTCCAAGTTAAAAAAGTTCAACTCTAGAACGGTATGTGACTCAATGCCCAAATTCAATCTCTGTCTGTGAGTTTTGGGTCTTAGCATTATTTATGAGTTTCATAAATTTGCATGAGGCAAATGCAAAAAGCCTTAATTTTGAGTGCAGAAATGAAAAAAAAGCAATTTTCCCAGAATGGTAAGTGACTCACTGCCTAAATTCAAACAACTGTCTGCAAGTTTTGATTCTTAGCATTGCGTATGAATTTCATAAAATTTGGATGAGGAAAACTTGTTAGAGTGCGGAAACCAAAATGGGACGTGTGGAAGGAAGGACAGAAAGACGGAAGGAGGGAAGCTCAAGGGTAGCACTTAATGTCCCTGTTGCTTACGGTTAGGGCATAAATAAACTCCTGTATCTACTTTCTTATAATGACCTGCATACTGTATTTCTGATTATAAATATCATTACGCTTTAAATCAATGACCATTGTACAAATCTATCCTACAATACCTACAGTACTGAAAATTCTTAAATATTGGGGTTTTTTTTGGCGCAAAAATTACAACAGGATAGGTTTTGCAAAATATAAAAACTTACTTTTTTAATTTTGATAGCATTATTTGTAGTGAGTTTTACCTGAAATCTCAATTATAAATCTTTCATTTTTCCATTTTTCAACAATCACAATAATAAATAATAATTTCTGAATTTACAGTACAAGTATTTGATTATTGATTTTTTTTTACATCTGACCTGTTCCATAGTCAATTCGTGTATCATTACCAACACCTTCTACTAAGTACACAGCAACTTCAGGTAAAGCTTTGTGATATTTCTCTTCTAAACAGGCTTTAATCTCATCTTCTGCATTCTGTAATTTAATTTGTGATCAATGAAATTCAATGCAACAGACCATTATGCAAGAAATGGTTGTTACTCTGAAATGTACTACTGCTGTGGAGTCATTATTATTCGTGTGGTAAAACATTTTTTAGTGGATTTTGTGAGTTGAACCAAGATATTCAATGAAATACAAAGTTTCTATATGCTTGTATGAGAACTTTGGTACTAAAAACCACTAAATCAATTATTCATGAAAAATCGATTTTGCCTCATTCCACCATAATACATATTATCGCTATTTATTCCATTCTGGAAATTACACAACTCTTTCAAACCAGTTGAAGCTATCTGGGGCCTGTTTAAACAATGTACTGTGAATAAAACTTTCAAAGAGTTATGTTTAAACCATTGTAAACACTTCAAACAAAGTATTTTTCCCCCTTTTTTTTATTTTTTAAAGTTGGATCATAAACTATACAAATTTCAAAATGTTCACTTTCTACACATTTTCCTCCATCAGCTCATTACTGATGACCTTTGTTTTTGTGACACTTGACCTAAACAGGAAGTTGTCTAGATGACCGTTTTTTTTTTGATTGGACTAAATAGCTATAAGGTGTATTAGTACCCACAAAAATAAAAGAATCTAGGGTCTATCAAAAACTGATAAATGTATATTGCCATTCTAGCAATGTATTAATACAATGTATAAGAAATAGAAACATGTGTAGTTGTTAGAAAATGATGGCCAAAACACATAAAATGACCATAATTGTAAGGAATGGATAGCAATTCTTTTCTTGAGTCATTCTATTTATAATGGAGAAAATGTGTTTCTTAGTCAAATAAGTGCTGCTTTATATGTAAACTTTAAAAACAAATGTGTTTTTTATGATTCTTTTTTATAACAAAAAAAGCAAAAGAAGTAATGTGCTTTGGGAATAATTACCTAAGTGACCTTCAATATAAATTATATTTTATATTTACATGCAATGCAAGTTATTGGATTTTGCAGTTTACTAAAACCAACTATTTTACAATACTCAACTAAATAAAGAATTTAACCTATCTAGCAAACAAGAGGCTGTCGAGTGAGAGCAAACCGGATTTTCCTGCAGAGGTCGAACCCTGAACAGTTGAGCAAGTATGGACACAACATTTAAGCTTAAAACAGCTCTGAATTTGGATTGTGATTGAATATTTAAAATAGATTATTATCTAATCAATAATGAAAATGATATTTGCAAATCTGAACCCCAAACAGGATCATGTAAAAATTAAACATTAACACACACAACAAAAATAAAATACCACATAACAACTGTGACATCTACCTTCATAACACACATGACTTAAACAAAATAGTTATAAAGAAATTTTGATGTTATCATGTGTTCATGGAATAAGTTTGAGTTATTTCCCTTTGAACAGAAATATGGTTTAACATAGTACTCTAACATTAGATATGATTAATAGTTCTCTAAAATTAGATATGATGTAACACAATGTATATCTATTTTCAAATTATATTCAAATATAATTAATAGTTCCAAATATTTTTTCTTTCATTTGTCACAAACTAATACAACTTATCTATGATCAATGTCAACAACTTTAAATGTAATGAAATATATCCTATAATAAAAACAGATTATTATCTAATTAAAGGCGTTTTCATGTAAATGAATGGACAATGTTTGGCAGTCGCCCACCGGCCCACCCTATATCCCCAAATCAATAACCGATTTTTACTTCGAAAATCCGGTTAAAAAGTGTGTAACCACCAATTAAATAAAATGCTCCGCAGGGCGCAGCTTGATACGACCGCATAGGTCGAACCCTGAACAGTTGGGGCAAGTATGGACACAACATTCAAGCTTGATACAGCTCTGAATTTGGATTGTGATTAAATATTTGACACAGCATAGGTTTCTGACACAGAATGAATGTGGTCTAAGAACTTAAAAATTTTAAATTGGACATTCACCTATTATGGTCCAATATCCAAAATCTAAATACATGGTTAGATTCAGCATATCAAAGAACCCCAAGAATTCAATTTTTGATGAAATCAAACAAAGTTTAATTTTGGACCTTTTTGATCTCAATGTGGACAAAGTTGATAACGGGGACCAAAAATCAAAAATCTAAATGCATGGTTAGATTCAGCATATCAAAGAACCCCATATAATCAATTTTTGTTGAAATCAAACAAAGTTTAATTTTGGACCCCGATTTGGACCAACTTGAAAACTGGGCCCATAATCAAAAATCTAAATACATGTTTAGATTCAGCATATCAAAGAACCCTAAAAATTAAATTTTTGTTAAAATCAAACTAAGTTTAATTTTGGACCCTTTGGACCTTAATGTAGACCAATTTGAAAACGGAACCAAAAATTAAGAATCTAAATACACGGTTAGATTCGGCATATCAAAGAACCCCAATAATTCAATTTTTGATGAAATCAAACAAAGTTAAATTTTGGACCCTTTGGACCTCAATGTGGACCAATTTAAAAACGGGGCCCAAAATCCAAAAACTTAATACACGGTTTGATTCAGCATATTAAAGAACCCCAAGAATTAAAGAATAAAACCCCATTGAAATTGATCAAGAAATAAGCAATTTATATGAAGTATCTTCTTTTGCACAATACTGTGCAATTGAATATTTCTTGCTATTGCGCAATACTGTACAATTGACAATTTCTTGCTATTGCTCAATATTGTGCTATTGGATATTTCTTGCTATTGCGCAATACTGTGTAATTGAAGATTTCTTGCTATTGCGCAATACTGTGCAATTGAAGATTTCTTGCTATTGTGCAATACTGTGCAATTGAAAATTTCTTGCTATTGCACAATACTTATTATATAATAATTTACACATCCTGTTTGGTGTGCATCTCCTACCATATCATTATTATTTGCTTTTAAATATAAATCAGAAATAACCAACTTAAAATGGAAAATTTTAAAAGAAAAAAAAAAGGAAAAAAAGAAAAAAAAAAGAAACCCCCCCCCCCAAATTTTTTGAACCCCATTATGATTCATCACCCCCAAACTCAATCCCAGCCTTCCCTTTGTGGTATGGTACCTTGCAGTACAATTTCAGAGAGATCCATACACTTGAACACAAGTTATTGTCTGGAAACTAGAAAAATGCTTGTTTTTTGGCCCCTTTTTGGCCCCCAAATCCTAAACGTTTCGGGCAATTACCCCCAAACTCAATTCCAGCTTTCCCTTTGTGATATGGAACCTTGTAGTACAATTTCAGAAATATCCAAACACTTACACACAAGTTATTGTCATGAAACTAGCAAAATGCTTGTTTTTTGCCCCTTTTTTGGCCCCTAATTCCTAAAATTTTGAGGCAATTACCCCCAAAATCAATTACAGCCTTCCCTTTGTGATATGGAACCTTGTGGTACAATGTCAGAGAGATCCATACACTTACACACAAGTTATTATTATTAAGTTACAAAAATGCTTATTTTTGGCCCCTTTTTGGCCCCTAATTCCTTAACTGTTGGTACCATAACCCCCAAAATCAATCCCAACCTTTCTTTCGTGGTATTGAACCTTATGGTAAAATTTCATGGAGATCCATTCACTTAAACTAAAGTTAGAGTGCGAAAACCAATGTGTCTTCGGACAACGCCGGACGACGCCAGACGACGACGACGACGACGACGACGACGACGACGACGACGACGACGACGACGCCAACGTCATACCAATATACGACCAAAAAATTTTTAATTTTTGCGGTCGTATAAAAACTTACAAATCAATAAATTTTCTTTAACCATGAATAAAAGTACACACATGTGTGATTAAGTCTAAGGGAACATGAAGGACAGCTACACCACCAATACAGGATTTTGAGGGTGTATCTACAACACCTGCTTCAAAATAGAGAATACAATTCAGGTACTTGTTATGATTGGTAGGATAAAAATGTTTGTAGATTTCATTGGTGAAGGTGAACCACAAATTCAAATTCAAATGTTCAATGAATTATGTATTTTCTAAAGGCTTGTATGCAAAACCATGACATTAAATATCCACACAAATGTAAGTTTTTCTCAATCCACAAAAATTGGTATCCACAAAAATAAATGAATCCACAGTAAGTTAAGAAAAAAAATACTTCAAATATTTGCCACTGTACTCACATCTTTTAATTTCTTATAAAAATCTCTAAAAGCCTTGTTACCAAATCTCTGTGGTTGGTCTGTTGGTGGGATTTCATCCACCCATACTATAAGCTTATCTATTAAATCTGATAACTTTTGGACTGTCTGAAAAAGGTAAATAAATTTTAGTAGCAAAATCAGAACGCCCATTTACTAGTGTATTCATGCTAAACATGTGAAGGAAACTAGAGTCTAGAAAAATATTTCATGCAGTAAATTGTAAATTCTTTCTCTATAGCAAATGTCAAAAACTTTTTTTACCAGACAAACTATTATCTATTATCATTAATATTTTTCACAATGACAAACATTGTCATTATCCTGTCAAAAAATGTTTAAAGAAATCAACTATGCTTTGCAGTACTACTACCTTGTGATCGTTCAATTGTAATTATTTTTTTTTAGATGGTAGCAGCAGAGCAATGAGTGCATTTCAGTAATTATTGGTTGAACTGCTACAAAGTTTCAAAGAAGAAAATTTGCATTTGGTTTAAGCCAAAAAAAACCAAAACAAACTGAACAACACAAATCATTAAGACATCTAGAGGTAGATACACAGTATTAAATAATAGACATACAATGTGTACATACAAACCATTGGCAATGCTCTAAGAATAACTTTTTGCCCTTCCTTTTATCTATATCACCCTGCTCAGTCACTCTGTAATTCTAGAATCACAGCTTTGAGACATGAGCAGAACTATCAGCAACATCACAATGACAGTATCTGAGGAGAAATTATCATTGATGTCACAATGTATGAGATTTTATTTAGCTTACTTTTGTCAAGCGTAAGGCGGCAAACTCTGCCGGGCAAAGACCACAAATAATACGATTATCTGATTTTCTGATCTCAAAATATCAGCTGCTTGACACAATGAGAAATTTACCTCGTTCGCTGTCAATCGCCAAAAAGGTTCACACTGTGGCTGGTGGCTGTTATTTTACAATATCAATGAGTAGAAAGCGATATAATCTATACATATTATAAAAGAATTCCACAAGGATTATCAAAAAACTATCAATAAACACCAAACTCTTAGCTGGACAAAAAACATAAATCAATGATAATCACTGATGAGGTTCCTCCTGGTTAGGGACTGGCACATTTAACATGTGGTATGGGTTAAATAATATTGAAAGTACTCAACCCTTCCCATCTATTTTATCCTGGTTAGGAACTGGCACATTTAACATATGGTATGGGTTAAATGATATTGAAAGTACTCAACCCTTCCGATTTATTAAGCAGAAATAATAAAGGTACAAAGAAAGATGCACAACAAAAATCTGTTAATTATCATCATTCCCTAGGTACATGTATAACAGACAGCAAACACAGCTCCAGGAAAAAACAATACTATATATCAGAAAATTTCCGTGTTTCTAATTTCTTTATATTCTTATTAGGCATTTTACTGTGAAATTTAGCCTATTCAAATATATCTCACCTTTCATTTAAATGTAATTTACAAGGCTATGAAGCAATACAAATGAACATGGTGAAGATTAAACTGCCCCTTCTGGGACCAAAACCCTGAACAACATTTGACAAGATATTAACATGGTAAACAGAAATTATCTTTAAACTGTCTTTCAGTGGTCTTTCACTGCACTGGAAATTAGATATTTACGAGATGGACATTTTTTTGACAGGATGGTTTGGATACAGTGTCCCCCAGTGGTGTTTTACACTGTATGACTGCCAGTTTTAGTACGATGGTTTGGACACAGTGTCCCTCAGTGGTGTTTTACACTGTAAGTATGACTGGACACAGTGTCCCCCAGTGGTGTTTTACATTATAAGTATGACTGCCAGTTTAAGTACAAATGTATACCTACCTCAGACATTAGATATTCATCTCTAATCTTTTTTCCTTTAATTGACTCATTTACAGCTAAGATAAAACCTGTTAAATCTCTGTAAGCCTGTCACAAAAATAGAAATACAAGAAAATATTATTCTGTTTGGGATGATACATGTATAACATATAATATCAGTATAAATAGAAGGAGATGTGGTATGTTTGCCAATGAGACAAATGTGTTTGTGACAAGCTCTAAGAACTGTGACTTCCCCTTTTGTATGTGACAAGCTCTGAGAGGGCTGTGACTCCCCCTTTTGTATGTGACAAGCTCTAAGAACTGTGACTGCCCCTTTTGTATGTGACAAGCTCTACGGACTGTGACTCCCCCTTTTGTATGTGACAAGCTCTAAGGACTGTGACTGCCCCTTTTGTATGTGACAAGCTCTAAGGACTGTGACTCCCCCTTTTGTATGTGACAAGCTCTAAGGACTGTGACTCCCACTTTTGTATGTGACAAGCTCTTAGAATTGGGACTCCCCCTTTTGTATGTGACAAGCTCTTAGGACTGTAACTACCCCTTTTGTATGTGATAAGCTCCAAGGACTGTGACTTCCCCTTTTGTATGTGATAAGCTCCAAGGACTGTGACTTCCCCTTTTGCATGTGACAAGCTCTTAGAACTGTGACTTCTCCTTTTGTATGTGACAAGCTCTAAGAACTGGGACTCCCCCTTTTGTATGTGACAAGCTCTTAGAACTATGACTTCCCCTTTTGTATGCGACAAGTTCTTAGAACTGTGACTCCCCCTTTTGTATGTGACAAGCTATGAGGACTGTGACTCCCCCTTTTGTATGCGACAAGCTCTTAGAACTGGGACTTCCCCTTTTGTATTTGACAAGCTCTAAGGACTGTGACTCTCCCTATTGTATGTGACAAGCTCTTAGAACTGGGACTCACTCTTTTGTATGAGACAAGCTCTTAGAACTGTGACTCCCCCTTTTGTATGTGACAAGCTTTTAGAACTGTGACTCCCACTTTTGTATGCAACAAGCTCTTAGAACTGTGACTCCCCCTTTTGTATGTGACAAGCTCTTAGAACTGGGACTCCCCCTTTTGTATGTGACAAGCTCTTAGAACTATGACTTCCCCTTTTGTATGTGACAAGCTCTTAGAACTATGACTTCCCCTTTTGTATGTGACAAGCTCTTAGAACTGTGACTCCCCCTTTGTATGTGACAAGCTCTAAGGACTGTGAATTCCCCTTTTGAATGTGACAAGCTCTTAAAACTGTGACTTCCCCTTTTGTATGTGACAAGCTCTTAGAACTGTGACTTCCCCTTTTGTATGTGACAAGCTCTAAGAACTGTGACTTCCCCTTTTGTATGTGACAAGCTCTTAGAACTTTGACTTCCCCTTTTGTATGTGACAAGCTCTTAGAACTGTGACTCCCCCTTTTGTATGTGACAAGCTCCAAGGACTGTGACTCCCCCTTGTGTATGTGACAAGCTCTTAGAACTTTGACTTCCCCTTTTGTATGTGACAAGCTCCAAGAACTGGGACTTCCCCTTTTGTATGTGACAAGCTCTAAGGACTGTGAATTCCCCTATTGTATGCGACAAGCTCTTAGAACTGGGACTTCCCCTTTTGTATGGGACAAGCTCAAAGAACTGGGACTTCCCCTTTTGTATGTGACAAGCTCTAAGGACTGTGAATTCCCCTTTTGTATGTGACAAGCTCTAAGGACTGTGAATTCCCCTTTGTATGTGACAAGCTCTAAGAACTGGGACTCCCCCTTTTGTATGTGACAAGCTCTTAGAACTGTGACTCCCCTTTTTGTATGTGACAAGCTCTTAGAACTGTGACTTCCCCTTTATTCCAAAGTAATTCACTTCCTACCTCTTGGTAAACAATTCATTTAAATGCTGCTGGTAATACTGAAAGTATTGAAAAGGGGTTCTGTTTGTCAAAAAACACAAATTTAATGATACAAAAAATATATCCGAAGCATTTTAAAGTTTTAAATCATTTACTGTGGATTCAGTATTATTCGTTGGATACCAATTTTCGTGGATTTCGTAGGTAACAGATTAACCACAAATTTAAATGTTCAACGAATGACACATTTTCTATAAGGAAATGAAATATCCATGACATAATGACATTGATAGATTGATGTAAGTAACTTTAGGTAACCAAACAAACTTCAATAAAATGCTTCGCTGGGCGCAGCTTGATACGACCGCAGAGGTCGAACCCTGAACAGTTGGGGCAAGTATGGACACAACATTCAAGCTTGATACAGCTCTGAATTTGGATTGTGATTAAATATTTGACACAGCATAGGTTTCTGACACAGAAAGAATGTGGTCTAAGAACTTCAATTTTTTTAATTTACCTATTATGGTCCAATGTCCAAAATCAAAATACATGGTTAGATTCAGCATATCAAAGAACCCCATATATTTAATTTTTGTTGAAATCAAACAAAGTTTAATTTTGGACCCCAACTTGGACAAACTTGAAAACTGGTCCCACAATCAAAAATCTACACACATGTTTAGATTCAGCATATCAAAGTACCCGAAGAATTCTATTTATGTTAAAATCAAACTAAGTTTAATTTTGGACCCTTTGGACCTTAATGTAGACAAATTTAAAAAACGGGACCCTAAATTAAAAATCTAAAAACACAGTTAGATTTGGCATATCAAAGAACCCCAATAATTCATTTTTTGATGAAATCAAACAAAGTTTAATTCTGGACCCTTTTGACCTCACTATGAACCAATTTGATAGCGGGCCCACAAATAAAAAATCTAAATACATGGTAAGATTTAGCATATCAAAGAACCCCATATATTCAATTTTTGTTGAAATCAAACAAAGTTTAATTTTGGACCCCAATTTGGACCATCTTGAAAACTGGGCCAAAAATCTAAAATCTAAATACATGTTTAGATTCAGCATATCAAAGAACCCCATATATTCAATTTTTGTTGAAATCAAACAAAGTTTAATTTTGGACCCCAACTTGGACCAACTTGAAAACTGGTCCCATAATCAAAAATCTAAACACATGTTTAGATTCAGCATATCAAAGAACCCCAAAAATTCAATTTTTGTTAAAATCAAACTAAGTTTAATTTTGGACCCTTTGGACCTTAATGTAGACCAATTTAAAAAACAGGACCCAAAATTAAAAATCTAAATACACGGTTAGATTTGGCATATCAAAGAACCCCAATAATTCAATTTTTGATGAAATCAAACAAAGTTTAATTTTGGACCCTTTTGACCTCAATATGAACCAATTTGATAGCGGGCCCACAAATAAAAAATCTAAATACATGGTAAGATTCAGCATATCAAAGAACCCCATATATTCAATTTTTGTTGAAATCAAACAAAGTTTAATTTTGGACCCCAATTTGGACCAACTTGAAAACTGGGCCAAAAATCTAAAATCTAAATACATGTTTAGATTCAGCATATCAAAGAACCCCATATATTCAATTTTTGTTGAAATCAAACAAAGTTTAATTTTGGACCCCAACTTGGACAAACTTGAAAACTGGGCCCATAATCAAAAATCTAAACACATGTTTAGATTCAGCATATCAAAGAACCCTAAGAATTCAATTTTTGTTAAAATCAAACTAAGTTTAATTTTGGACCCTTTGGACCTTAATGTAGACAAATTTAAAAAACGGGACCCAAAATTAAAAATCTAAATACACGGTTAGATTCGGCATATCAAAGAACCCCAATAATTCAATTTTTGATGAAATCAAACAAAGTTTAATTTTGGACCCTTTGGACCTCAATGTGGACCAATTTAAAAACGGGGCCCAAAATCCAAAAACTTAATACACGGTTAGATTCAGCATATTAAAGAACCCCAAGAATTCAAGAATAAAACCCCATTGAAATTGATCAAGAAATAAGCAATTTATACGAAGTATCTTCTTTTGCACAATACTGTGCAATTGAATATTTCTTGCTATTGCGCAATACTGTACAATTGACAATTTCTTGCTATTGCGCAATATTGTGCTATTGGATATTTCTTGCTATTGCGCAATACTGTTAAATTGAAGATTTCTTGCTATTGCGCAATACTGTGCAATTGAAGATTTCTTGCTATTGTGCAATACTGTGCAATTGAAAATTTCTTGCTATTGCACAATACTTATTATATAATAATTTACACATCCTGTTTGGTGTGTATCTCCTACCATATCATTATTATTTGCTTTTAAATATAAATCAGAAATAACCAACTTAAAATGGAAAATTTTAAAAGAAAAAAAAAAGGAAAAAAAGAAACCCCCCCCCCCCCCCCAAATTTTTTGAACCCCCTTATGATTCATCACCCCCAAACTCAATCCCAGCCTTCCCTTTGTGGTATGGTACCTTGCAGTACAATTTCAGAGAGATCCATACACTTGAACACAAGTTATTGTCTGGAAACTAGAAAAATGCTTATTTTTGGCCCCTTTTTGGCCCCCAATTCCTAAACGTTTCGGGCAATTACCCCCAAACTCAATTCCAGCTTTCCCTTTGTGATATGGAACCTTGTAGTACAATTTCAGAAATATCCAAACACTTACACACAAGTTATTGTCATGAAACTAGAAAAATGCTTGTTTTTTGCCCCTTTTTTGGCCCCTAATTCCTAAAATTTTGAGGCAATTACCCCCAAAATCAATTACAGCCTTCCCTTTGTGATATGGAACCTTGTGGTACAATGTCAGAGAGATCCATACACTTACACACAAGTTATTGTCTGAAAGTTACAAAAATGCTTATTTTTGGCCCCTTTTTGGCCCCTAATTCCTTAACTGTTGGTACCATAACCCCCAAAATCAATCCCAACCTTCCTTTTGTGGTATTGAACCTTATGGTGAAATTTCATGGAGATCCATTCACTTAAACTAAAGTTAGAGTGCGAAAACCAATGTGTCTTCGGACGACGCCGGACGACGCCGGACGACGACGACGACGACGACGACGACGACGACGCCAACGTCATACCAATATACGACCAAAAAATTTTTAATTTTTGCGGTCGTATAAAAATGAATTTGAATGTTAGCATGCCTCTATAGATATGTTTATTTCTTCACATATACAAAATTGCATACCTGGAATTCAAATGATTTTCTTCTGTTTATTACATTAATCTTAATAAAAATCACTAAAACTGCTTTTCAATGCCCCTAGAATCAGTCCAGAATTGGTTCAATTCAGGTTACTGATAATAATAACATTAACGTTACAAAATTTCTGCACCTGATGTATATATCGACATTAAAGTGATCCTCAAGGCCAAAATATTTGAAAACCCAATGCTTATTAAAAAAAATGAAGAGCTTGTAAACCAAAAAGGACAAAAAAGTATAGCCAAAGTCGTTCATTTATAAGTTCATATTAAAATATATGTTAATTTATTTCTCAACACTAGCTGTTTTTTTTGGCTTTTTATAACCTAACTAGTGCTGAGAAATCATGACAATCCCGAATTTGTTGATTACTAGTAACAAAAAATATATTTATTCTCCTTTTGTTGCCAAGCGATAACTGTAAGGAATATATACAGTATTTACTTTGATAGAGTATATATGTAAATAATGTGCAAATTTGAATTTTTTGTTAAATATAATTTGCCAGAAATGTTCTGTATGCATGTGCTTAGTAGTCTGAAAAATAGTACGAAGATTGGTCAATTTCAAACAAGTGCAAATGAGATCTGCTGGTTTGAATATCTATTGTAAGATTGAAAAAGACAAAGGTGATATGTTTCTTTTGGCATTCAGTATATCTAATCCCTTGTCTTTATTATGTTTAAAATGTAATTCTCCCACATTTTTACATACACTTTCCAAATCAATTTGCTCTTGTTTTACATGTTTTAGGCATGAAAAAGAAAAATTGGCTGTAAAAGAAGACCATAATAATGTCTCTAAAAATTTGAAAGTACAAAAGTGAATTGAAAAATGGCAACTTTTAAAGCTGTCAAACTGAATTCAGGACCCTGATGAAATAAATTTATCCATATTTTAGTTAGATCCTGTCAAATGATTTTGCTATATGTTTCCTCAAATCTTTTAAATCTTTCATTAAAGATAGTACAGGTTACTTTCTTTTAAATTTCATTCAATGTTGTATATAAATGCATTTCCTGGTCAATAGCTCGGTAATATCAAAAAAATACCTACAATTGATTTTTCCCAATCAGGAATGTGTTCAGCTCGACTCAGTTCTTTCGTGGGAACTTTAAATTCATGATCTTCTATAACAATATCAGTATGTGCATCTGAAAAGTAAAGAACACATAAAATGCCAGTAGTTTTCACAAAGACTATTTTTCTCTGCTACTTTTTTTTTTAATTTATGGTTCAAGTGCTTGTACAAAGAGGGGGGCAAGGGGGGTTCCAATAACAGCAAAACAGCAAATTGATTTGGATTATAACTGATAACAAGGAATTGAAAAGGGATAAAAACAAATAACAGTAAATGAATAATTAAAATGTCGGGTCCAGGACAAATCCAGTATATATCTTATTATAATCCTTTGTATAATGAATTCCATTTTCTATGAACATGTTTTTAGAGTTATATATCTAGAATTGGTTTACTCAATGTATGATCATTTTTTTTTGTTATGGAATACTTTTTTCAGCATTTATTTTTGTACTTTTAAAGAAGCTCACACATGCTTGTAATTTAAATAGTGAGTGTATTCTTAGAAAAGAATCACAGAGCTAAGTCTGTGTTCCTTATTATATAAAAGGTGTTTAGGTTAACTGGTCGTATGGAACTAGGACTTAATTGCCATCCTCATCAGGTATCCCTGGCCATATGTTTTCCTTTTTGTTGAGTCTGCGACTTTTGTCACAAAAGCGAGACATAGTGATCATACATTCCGTCGGCGGCGTTGTCGTCAGGGGCATCCACAAATATTTACTCAGTGGTTAGTGTTTTTAAAATTTGAATAACTTTCTTAAAATATCCTGGATTTCTACCAAACTTGAACAGAAGCTTGTTTACACAAACTGTATAATTATAAAATAGTATCCAGAAGTAAATTTTGTAAAGTAAAAAAAAAAATAATCCTATTTATCCATATTTTACTTATAAATGGATTTAGTTTTTCTGCTAGTTTACATTACATTCACTCTGTGGTGAAAGTTTTAAAAATTTTAATAACTTTCTTAAACTATCCCAAAGTTTTTTTCCATTCTTTAACTTCAGTTTGCCTCAATCAAATGTTATGAAACTTATACACAATGCTTATTACCACAAAACACAGATCAAGTTTGAATGTTGGTCGTGTCACTGTAACCGTTCTAATGTTATGCCACATTACAAACGAAAAAAATTGCTGAATTTTTCGTTTCCGTTCTCTAACTTTAGTTTGCCTCAACCAAACTGAGTTACAGGCAAGCATTTCTGTATTTTGAGCCTATGCGACATTTGCTTCTAATGTAGTATGTTTTTCTAATATATTATGTTTTTATATTCGATAATAAAATGCTCCGCTGGGGCGCAGCTTGATACGACCGCAGAGGTCGAACCCTGAACAGTTGGGGCAAGTATGGACACAACATTCAAGCTTGATACAGCACTGAATTTGGATTGTAATCAAATATTTGACAAAGCATAGGTTTCTCACACAGAATGAAAGTGGTCTAAGAACTTACAAATTTTTAATTTACCTATTCAAACCATATCATTATTATTTGCTTTTATATATAAATCAGAAATAACCAATTTAAAATGGAAAATTTTAAAGAAAAAAAAGGAAAAAAAATCTCCCCCCCAAATTTTTTGAACCCCCCTTATGATTCATCACCCCCAACCTCAATCCCAGCTTTCCCTTTGTGGTATGGTACCTTGCAGTACAATTTCAGAGAGATCCATACACTTGAACACAAGTTATTGTCTGGAAAATAGAAAAATGCTTGTTTTTTGGCCCCAAATTCCTAAACGTTTAGGGCAATTACCCCCAAACTCAAACCCAGCTTTCCCTTTGTGATATGGAACCTTGCAGTACAATTTCATAAAGATCCATACACACAAGTTATTGTCCTGAAACTAGAAAAATGCTTGTTTTTTTGCCCTTTTATGGCCCCTAATTACTAAAATTTTGAGGGAATTACCCCCAAAATCAATCCCAGCCTTCCCTTTGTGGTATGGTACCTTGCAGTACAATTTCAGAGAGATCCATACACTTGAACACAAGTTATTGTCTGGAAACTAGAACTAGAGGCTCTCAAGAGACTGTGTCGCTCACCTGTATTTACTGATGCTTTGGAAATCATGTAAAATAAGGTTAAAATCATAATTAATAGTATTAGATATTAGATATTATAATGATATCTAAGATAATGACAAAAAACTGCAAAATTTTTGTAAAATTACTAACTCAGGGGCAGCAACCCAACAACGGGTTGTCGAATTCATCTGAAAATTTCAGGGCAGATAAATCTAAATCTGATGAACATTTTTGCCACCTGTCAGATTTGCTCTAAATGCTTTAGTTTCAGAGATATAAACCAAAAACTGCATTTTACCCCTATGTTCTATTTTTACCTAAGACAGCAATGATAGTTGGAAGGCGGGGTCATCGGACAAATTTTAAACTAGATACCCTAATAATGATTATGGCCAAGTATGGTTAAATTTGTCTCAGTAGTTTCAGAGAAGAAGATTTTTGTAAAAGATTACAAAAATTTACAAAAAATTGTTAAAAATTGACTATTAAGGGCAATAACTCCTAAAGGGGTCAACTGACAATTTTGGTCATTACAACTTATTTGTAGATCTTACTTTGCTGAACATTATTGCTGTTTACAGTTTATCTCTATCTATAATAATATTCAAGATAATAACCAAAAAACTGCAAAATTTCCTTAAAATGACCAATTCAGGGGCAGCAACCCAACAACAGGTTGTCAGATTTTTCTGAAAATTTCAGGGCAGATAGATCTTGACCTGATAATCAGTTTTACTCTGTCAGATTTACTCTAAATGCTTTGGTTTCAGAGATATAAGCCAAAATCTACATTTTACCCCTATGTTCTATTTTTAGCCATGGCGGCCATCTTGGTTGGTTGGCGGGGTCATCGGACACATTTTTTAAACTAGATACCCTAATGATGATTGTGGCCAAGTTTGGTTTAATTTGGCCCAGTGGTTTCAGAGGAGAAGATTTTTGTAAAAAGCTAACGACGATGGACGACGACGACAATGACGGACGACAGACGCCAAGTGATGAGAAAAGCTCACTTGGCCCTTCGGGCCAGGTGAACTAAAAATGCTTATTTTTTGGCCCCTTTTTGGCCCCTTATTCCTAAACTTTTTGGGCAATTACCACCAAACTCAATTCCAGCTTTCCCTTTGTGATATGGAACCTTGTAGTACAATTTCATAAAGATCCATACACTTACACACAAGTTATTGTCATGAAACTAGAAAAATGCTTGTTTTTTGCCCCTTTTTGGCCCCTAATTCCTAAAATTTGGAGGCAATTACCCCAAAAATCAATCCCAGCATTCCCTTTGTGATATGGAACCTTGTGATACAATGTCAGAGAGATCCATACACTTACACACAAGTTATTGTCATGAAACTAGAAAAATGCTTGTTTTTGGCCCCTTTTTGGCCCCTAATTCATAAAATTTGGAGGCAATTATCCCCAAAATCAATCCCAGCATTCCCTTTGTGATATGGAACCTTGTGGTACAATGTCAGAGAGATCCATACACTTACACACAAGTTATGTCTGGAAGTTACAAAAATGCTTATTTTTGGCCCCTTTTTGGCCCCTAATTCCTTAACTGTTGGTACCATAACCCCCAAAATCAATCCCCACCTTTCTTTTGTGGTATTGAACCTTATAATAAAATTCCATTGAGATCCATTCACTTAAACTAAACTTAGAGTGCGAAAACTAATGTGTCTTCGGACGACGACGACGACGACGACGCCAACGTCATACCAATATACGACCACAAAAATTTGTTTGCGGTCTAATAAGGGCCCTTGAGAGCTTATATTTGACTGTTTTATTACATGCCAAATTGAAATAAAGTTTTACTTACTTACTTGCTTTGCTACACTGACATTCTTTCAATACAAGCCATTAACTATGCATGCAGCTAAATATCGTTAAATTGTCCCACAGTAAATAGTTTGGTCATAGAACTTTAAACATGTTAATATTCTTATTGACTTGTGATTTATTTTAATTTTTTTTTTTTGGTTTTAAATCTTTGAAAGGGAATGAAGGAAAGCCATCTCAAGCCCAAAGATTTGAAGAATGCATCACTAGCTGTTTACAGAGAGCATCGTAAGGATTTTTACCAAAAAGTAGAGATGACATGCATACCGCTACTGGTTTGATGATAATTGAGACAAATAAGTCGGAAAAGTTTTTGCTTACAAATGACCGCGAGAAAGGTATACTTATTTTTTCTACACACCTTAATCTTGAATGTCTTTGCAATGATATGTCTGCAATATTTATAGATGGAACTTTTAAGTGTTGCCCGAAATACTTTTATCAGTTATATACTATACATGGATGCAAAAATGGAAACTAAGTACCTCTTATTTACGCCCTCTTTCCAGCGAAAGATGAACAGTGTTATGAAGTGATGTGGAAAATAATTTGCAATCTCTGCCGTCAATAACAACTGTCCTTTGTGCCCAAGGTTATACATATTGACTTTGAACAAGCAATGCATAACGCAATTATAGATCCTTTTCCACAATGTAGAATATTGTTGTCGTTTTCATCTGGCTCAGAACTGGTGGAGGAAAACCCAGTTTGTTGGGCTAAGTACAGAGTATAAAGACAAATCAAGTGACACTGGTAAATGGCTATCGCAATTTTTCCGGCTACCATTCCTTCCCCCAGATGAAATCGAGGACTGCTTCACGTTTGACATTATGTCTTATGCTCATTCTGATGACAAATGTCATGCATTCTTAGACTACCTACTAAGTACTTATATATCATGTATATGCTCAACTTCACGTTATCCACCTCATTTCTGGGCAGCTGCACCCATTGAAAACTGTAAGAGGACGAATAACGGTCCATAATCATTTCATTCGCATTACAATGAACAGTTCTATTTGCACCACCCTAACATATATGTTATTATGGATGTCATCAAGAAAATCCAGGCCATTACTTATGTCAAAATGAGAACTCTTGAAATGCCCACCACTGTGCGCAGGCCAGAGAAAGAAAAGACGGACTTCGTTGTTGGCAAGTACAACAAGTATAGAAGAGATGAAATTACAAGGAAGGAATACATCAGATGTGTAGCATATAAATGCAAGAACAGATTTATAATTCATTGTATTCCATTTTTATGGATTTTAATGTTGTGCTTTTGAATGCTGTAAATAGATTTTTACTCTGTGATTTTAGTGGATGTAAACAGAGTGCTATTATCTTTTAAATTGACTTGTCCTGTTTGAAATCCTACTTCCACCTCCCTGTGGTGAGCGAGTAGTGAGCGACACCAGTTATGTACATGTTATAATTGACAATTCATAACATAAGTACAACTGGCTATTGGAAGAGCTTTATAATGATAAATAAAAAATAACATTCACCTGTAATTTACCTGTACACAATCGGCGCAAATGAAAGACAAAATCGGCGCAAGTGAAATGCAGATCGGCGCAAATGCAAAATGCTGCTTAATCCTCAATTACCCTTTAAGCTCACTCATCCAGGATGTCACACCTGTACTTTGAATATTCAATAATGAAGGAAATAAAACGTCATAAAAAAAAATTACAAATAAATAAATAAAATGAAAAAAGTCTTGAATATATCATGTATACTATAATGAAGAAAAAAACGTTATTAATAAAAAAAATTTAAAAAAAAAATTTTTTTAAATCAAAAACTGTCTACATTGGTGTATAATACACATCCCCTCTATCAAGTACTTTTTTGGATGATTAACCAGTACTGAAAAACCTGAAAGCTATCTGACCAAAAAAATTGACTTCTTTATCATGTTTATCGACATGTCATTTGCATGTGAGAATGAAATTATTCAAAATATATAGTTTACGTAATCCATCGTTACCATCAATGCACTTTGGTGAGCTATCAATAAAATAGCGTCACAATGACACCATCACACTTCAGTGTTACCATCATGGTTCAGAGTACCATAGCGATTCAGAGTCCGACATAAACATGATAAATATTGAGAAAACTTAAAAAAAATAAACTTATTCAGTTTTATTGTTCATTCTCACTGCTAATGTAGCTTAATTTGATGTAATAATTCTAATAATGTCACTAATGCTGAAATAACTCCTACCCAGGTGCAGATTTGACAAGATGACGAAGCGACCATGAGCTGATTTTTCTAGAGGTACCCAATTGACCAAGTGCCTATTTGACAAGTACCCATGTTTCTTTTCATGGTATTTCCTGCCAAAACAGTTATTTATCATCAAATTAGTTATTGTAAAATTAAATGTATCATCAACTTATCAATAGACCTTATCACTATTTTACTTGACATCACAAAGGTTCCTGTAAAATTTTGACATCATAAAAGAAATGTGACGCCATAAAGGAAAACTGATTGTTGTATGACATCAATAGTTCAAGTGTTGCTGATTCTTAGGTCAAGTTTCACAGATATCCAAATTGCGATAGGGTCGAGATCTATGGGAATGATGGGAGGGAATCGTAACCCTATTAGTATACACCTTATCGCTATTTATCCGCCATTTAACTGGACATCACAAACATGACAAAGGTTCCCGTAAAATTTTGACGTCACAATAGAAAATATCTGACGCCACAATGAAAAAGTGATAGTTGTTTGACGTCAAAATTTCAACCGGTGCAGATTCTCAGTTCAACCGGCGCAGATTTCCAAATAGCTATGAGGTGTATATGGTGCAGAGTATCGTATGGTCACAAATATAGGTAGTGTAATAAGATTTAAGAAATTAAAAATAAATCATTGCATAACACTCTCAATATAAAAACCTTTCAGTTAAGTTTGAATATGAAATTTTAAATAGATCAAAAATCACAAACTTTGCTTTTCACATGACCATTTATCGAATTATCTCCCCTGTCACAATATCTGTGTAACTTAAGTGATTTACTCTTTTAAGAGCATATATATTGAATTTAAGTGAAACAACAGAGGTAGAACTTATTCTAAGCATAAGCAAGGTAAAAAAAATGAGACATTTCTTGATAAATTGATACTAACTACATGTTTCTTTTTCAGTTGCTTCTGCCATTTCTGTCAATCACCTAAATGACATAGATGATAAAAGTAAAATTAGAAGGAAATGCGGAATTATTGACAACGTTGATATAGGTTGCTGCTACTTGGCACTTTTTTGCTCACAAAATATATAGCTTGAGGTAAACCTATAATGTCATACTGAAATATTTATTTTGAAGAATACATTTTCAACTTATCAAGTTAAAAGTTATTTACAAATGATGTTATTTATGTTCAAAGTACTTGTGGGATATTGTCAAATTGAATAATATTGTTTTGTAGTTTCCGGAAATTTAACATGTATACCTTTATACCTTTATCTTCGGGTCATAAAATAATCCATGGCTTCTACTGACATGGCTTCCAGATGACCCCTTATCTTTGAATGTCCTTATGAAATTTCTCATCCCATAATAATATATATATTCACAGTGATATTATACTTTTTAAAAATAAACACTTTTATCCCCAGCTTAGTATATTTCTAGGATATTGATTGGTTAAAGCACATCGTTAAAAAACCCATAGCCCCAGCTGTTGCTAACTCATAAACCCAGAAGTTGCTACCCATTACCTCGGGGAACTTCTTGCGCGTTTTCCTTAGTTCCATGGTTGTTCCTAGTGAAAAATTTAATTCTGTAGATTATCCATGATGTCTGTATTAAATATGTAATCCACTAAAGTTTTATCCTATTATCCTGATCATTTGGATTCATTTTAGTAAATGCATCACTTGGCTTCCACATTGTGAATGAAAGGGACTACTGGTCTAGCTATGCAAATGACCATCATTGACGTCACACTGTAAGATAGAGCGCCAAATTTGACTCATTCCAGTTTCTCTGTCTCTGGATTAAAAACTGCTTATATTTGACTACCTGTAAGGTTCTACCACAGGCAGTACCGTACACCCAGTTAATAATATGTCAAGTTCCCAAATTTCAATAAAACGTTTGCTTTTACTTTGCTTTCACGTTACACTTTGTGCTCGAATTTCCCGAAAAAATCCCAGATTTGGACTAAGATCGGGGATAAATTCGTTATCTACATTCATATCCGTAGATATGAGTATTTTAACACCTTTCAGTACCCTGTACACCCTTCAGCTTTGCCTCAAGGTGTACTAGGATACTTCAGGGTGTTAAAATACCCATATCTACGGATAAGAATGTAGATAACTTATAATATAGGTCAGTCAGGGGTAATACTAGCTTATACTAGTCATTTTAATTTACTTGAAGATGTAAGTAATATTTACTTGTATAAGTAAATTTGTAAGATTTTTATTTTATTTTCAAGGTTTGAATTATCTCCCCTCAATCTTCTCCAAAAATTTACTTATACAAGTAATTTTTTTTTATAACCCCTTAAATTCTCAAGTTTTGGGAGGTCAAAACATGTATAAATGCATGTGTCATTCTATATGGTGAACATAATACTTTTACATTTTTTTTTTTTTCAAACGATGCATAATCAAAACCCTATTTTTTTATTTTATGATATAGGTTACCATGGTTACCAGAACCAACCATTAAATTGAGCATTTATAGTAAATTCAATAATACCTTGTCAGAACCAACTGTTATATTTAAAAGAATATACTAGTAGGACTGAACAGAATATTTTCTCAAGATCAAATTTTCTATTTCATATTTAGTCATAACTTCCTCAAAACCAACCATTATTACGAGTTATTTGAACATTACCTTGATAGTATGAGTTCTATTATATACATTATCAGTGCACGCAAAGGATAGTAAACTAGCAATTGATAGTTTACTATCCATTGCGTGCACTGATAGTGCAAATGTTATTTTTAGTATATTCAATAAAGTCAAACACAGAAAAACACGAAATTCATTGAAATGAACAAATAACGGATTTTGGAAAAACGGGGGAGGGCAAAAAAAAATTTTCTGTCCCCAAGTACCTGTGTTCACTAGGTTCGCTTTCCTGAATTACTATAGATATATAAAATTGACAGAGTATTCATATATAATACAAAGATTTTTCGCTATATCATTTCGTCGATAATATTAGAATACACATCCTGTGTATGGGGTTGCAAACGATACAGTCCATTGGAGGGGCTTTAATACCAAGCGATAAGAAATTTTCTTGGTGTTGGTATGACGGGCTTCTCCCATATCCGCCATAACAGGAGAAATGGGACGGTATCCTATTATTTACAACACACAATGTTATATTATTATGTTATTGTGTAGACATCAATAACTCTGTCAAACCTTTATGGAATTTTATGAAATTTGGACAGATGCTTGTTAATGTACACAATTCAGTATCCAGAGCAAAATTTTGAAAATATTTATTTTCATTTTTCCGTATTTTACTGATAAATGGACTTCATTGTTTTTACAGTTTAATAAGAAGTAGATACAGTCTAGTGTTAAAGTTTGTTATACATCAATTACTTTGTCAAACCGTCATAGAATTTTATGAAACTTTGGCAGAAGCTTTTTTATGATTAAGAGATAATGTCAGAAGCAAACTTCTGAAAAATTGTGTTTTCATTTTCAGTATTTTTCTGATAGATGGACTTAGTTTTTTTACAGTTAACATTTACAGACAGTCTGGGATTAAATTTGTTTGACATGATAAATTTGTAAACCTCTATGGATTGTTATGAAACTTGGACAGAAGCTAATAATCTTCAAGACCAAGAAATAGCATTTAGAGTAAAAGTTTGAATTTTTTTTTACTTCTATATTTTAATGATAAATGGACTCACTTTTTAAGTCAACATTTTACGAAAAACAAATATGACAAACATTGACCAATGACAACCACTGAACTACAGGCTCCTGACTTGGGACAGGCACATAAAGAATGTCTGAAAATGGTAATTTTTTACCTAAAAAAATGCAATTTTGAGACAAATCCAAGGGTACAAATAACCATGGCAATGACAACATAAACATTTTTTTTGTCACTCTATTTCTTTTATGTTTGTTTATAGCCACCAACAAACAAAATTTCAAAAAAATCTGAGACTATGCGTGCTGCAACTTGGTTGGTGGTTACAGAGAATTGCTATTAAAACCTCTTTGAAAGAATGATATAATCCTGGGGGCACTTCCATTCTTTTGTGGTAGGGATTAGTAGCTTAGACTTCTAGTACCCAACCCTTTTTGTATACTTTGAATATCAAAAATACATAATTTCATGCGGAAGAAATGTTTCTCCAGAAATCAACCAGCAGCATTGTCCAGAATGCGACGTAGAATGTTTCTGTTTGAACTTAAAAAAGAGGAGTTTTAGAAACACTCCTGTGAACAAAGAAAATGTAAAATGTGTGATAGTGGCAAAGTACAGAAGATGTGATCCATGTCACAACTACATCCGTAACAAGCTTCTTTGCAACCTTTAAGCCATACATGACTGTGACTTCTCAAACCTTTTGTCCATGGACAAATTTGAAAAAACTCCTTAATAGTAATAATAGCTAAATTTAAACTGTCGTAAATGTCTCTCATGGAGTGGAAATCTGTTAATTATAAAGAATTTTAATAGCGACGGTTTATTTAAACATTCAAAATTTATACCATTATTCTTTCGCTTCAAGAAGTCAGCAAAAACAACTGCATTTAATATACATGCACTACTGTAAAAGGGTCTCTTTGATGGGAATATACATGTATACGTCGACAGAGAGGGTAAAAAGGGCATATCCATGTACATATAACCCGGCTATGATAAGAATGAACAATATTCATCCTGTAGTGATCAGCCAATTAAAATCCAGGATATCTACATAAATACAAGCACTTGTTTCTGATTTAAAAAAAAACCTGTATACCTTTATATAACACAGGTAAAAGATTAGAGACAAGTGACAGTGTATATAACATGTAATTATAAAAAAAATCTCATGAGACTTAAGGATGATGGGTTGTGTAAGTTGAAAAAGACTGCTACACTTGTTGAACTTCATAATGTAATCATGTTTTGCTCCATGTTGAAGGCCTCATTGTGACTTTGAGATGAAGACCAGCAATAAAATGAGCTGTTCCATTGCTTTTTGTGTGTTTTTTGCTGTGCATGTACTGATTTTGTGTCACGGATGGATACCCCATTTCCTTTGTTTTTCTATTATGTTAGCACGTATTAATAAGAACTGCATGATTTTGTAGTTTTCATAATATTTTGATATATAGATAGAATAATTTTATATATAGATGTGTATGTGATTTTGACCTAGAGCTACTTGTGTGAAGTCATTTTACAGCCGCAGCTCTTAGTCTTAATTAACTTTATTTCTCATAAAAAGCATAAAAATCTCTTCTTGCCCTTATTATATAATATGGTGGCTACACTTGAGTTAAGTATTTGGTCAGGCCATAAAATGGTAAAATGGTTTTATGTGTTTTGTGGGTATTGTATTCGAAAACGCGATGAAATTATAACTGTTGTGCATAAACTGGGACTTAATAGAAACAAGAATGTGTCCATAGTACTCGGAAGCCCCACTCACACTATCATTTTCTATGTTCAGTGGACCGTGAAATTGGGGTCTAAACTAATTTGGCATTAAAATTAGAAAGATCATATCATAAGGAACATGTGTACTAAGTTTCAAGTTAATTGGACTTCAACTTCATCAAAAAGTACCTTGACCAAAAACTTTAACCTGAAGCTGGACAGACGGAGGAATGAATGGATGCACAGACCAGAAAACATAATGCCCTTACTACTATTGTAGATGGGGCATAAAAAATAATATCCAAGTCATAAACCAATTTATCAAGCAACCTAAGCTTTCACATACAGATTGCTTGAGACAGATTGATCTTTTAATCTTTTTGTCAAGCCTTCGACCTTTGTGGAAAAAGCTAGACATAGTGATCCTACATTCCGTCGGCGTTGTCGTTGGCGGTGTCCACAAATATTCACTCTGTGGTTAAAGTTTTTAAAATTTTAATAACTTTCTTAAACTTTCCTTGATTTCTACTAAACTTGGACAGAAGCTTGTTTATGATCATTAGATAATATTCAAAGGTAAATTTTGTAAAAAAAAATCCATTTTTTCCGTATTTTACTTATAAATGGACTTAGTTTTTCTGCCAAGAAACATTACATTCACTCTGTGGTTAAAGTTTTTAAAATTTTAACAACTTTCTTAAACTATCCTGGATTTGTACCAAACTTGGACAGAAGCTTGTTTATGATTAAAAGCTAGTATCTAGAAGGAAATTTTGTTAAAATTTTGTTCCATTTTTTCCGTATTTTACTTATAAATGGACTTAGTTTTTCTTCCAGTTAACATTACATACAGTCTGCAGTTTAAGTTTTTAAAACACTTATTAGATTCATAAACTATCCTGAATTTTTACCAAACTTGGACAGAAGCTACTTACAATCAAAAGATAGTATAGAGAGGAATATTTTTATTAATTTGTTTCCTCATTTTTGTTGAGCCTGCGATTAACAGCAAAAGTAGGCGAGACACTGGGTTCCGCGGAACCCTTACGAATTTTTTAATCTTTTAATTTCAAAATCAAAATTAAGCAGTTGCATTGTCCTATATTGTCAGTGTTCACACACTCATCATTTAAGTTATGTTATATGTTACTGGGAAAAGATTTTAATTATGAATATACTGGTCTTAGATTGCCCTAAAATTTATTTACTAAAATTGGATAGACACACAAAGTAATCGACACTGTTGTATTTGCCCCATCCTTCACACTCACTCAAAAACATCTGTCGTCCCCTTTAATGTGACATAAATATTTCAATTTGTTTATCTTATCAACTCCCTATTCTCTATTTAAGAAGCCAATTTTATAAGAACAAATGCAGTGTACATGTATATTCAAACAAAAGTGTGTAGAAAGAAAACAAATCAAAGATAACGAAACCGATAATAATTCATATCTTATTATAGGATATATTTTGCCAGGGCGAATATTTTGTGTTCACCGAAATATCTAGCACATATAAAATCAAATTCAAATATGTCTCTTGGGACCAATAGATAATTGTATATTACAAATGTTTCTAATATATAACCGACAAAGATAATAAAATATAATATTATCTAACAGCACATTAGTACATAAACTTATATGATAGGGAACACATCTCGAAACATTAATGTACTGACCCCAAAACACAGAATAACATGCGATTAATGAAGCATTTAAAGTCTTATTCATTATCCTTTAAAGAGAGGCGAAAGATAACAAAGGGGCATTCAAACTCATAAGTCGAAAATAAACTGACAACGCCATGGCCAAAAAAGAAAGGGACCAACAAATAAACAACAGTACATAAAACACAACATAGAAAACTAAGGACTGAACACACGAACCCCATCAGTTTTTTAATTGGTTTAAGTTGAAAAAGTACATGCAGATGCGGATCCAGAATTTTGAAAAAGGGGGGGCCCCAAACAAGACAAAATTTGTAGTGGAACTGCGTAAAAAAGTCTGGATTAACCATAAATGAATCTCCACAAGTGGGGCTCTGAGGCACCCCGATCCACTCCCTAAATCCGCCTCTGACATTTTCATTGTCCTACATCAATAATTGATGAAATTTATTAGAAGAATCTTTATTTTGGTAAGTTCTTCTGTTTCAAAAGATAAAATGTTAAATGTGAAACATGTAACAGGGAACATTATTTGATTAAGATATAAAATTATAATTTAAACGAAATTGTTATATAAATTAAGGGACCTTCTATAATTGATTAACATTTAGCTCGTTTTATCTGCTGAAAAAGTGCTTATCCTTTTTAAGACCTGCTATTGATAAAAGTGTCTGCAATTGTGCTATATTAATGTTCTTTTTGTCCACACCAAACCTAAATATAATTTGAAATTATTCAAACTACTCTTCCAATCTTTCCAAGAGTGACTTTGATTTAAGATAAAAATATATGAATTTTAAATTGGAGATTTGATGATTTTAGGACATGTTTAAGAACTTTTTTGCCAATTTTATGTGCTCTCTGTACAAATATTCACCAAATGCATTGTTTTTTTTTATTTTCAGTTAAGTTCAACGAGCCAAAGTTGCATTAAAAATTTCACCTAAATCTGTGACATAGCCCATTTTCTGTACCTTGACCTTAATGTGACATTTTTTATCTCTTGTATGTTGTCTACAGGTAAATTTATATATGTATCTCTTATAATTGTTTCAGATTATGCAAGATCGTTATATCCGATGACGCCACCTGGAGTACATATAAATAAAACAGCAGTAGCTATTATCATTGGATTACTAGTAGTAATAATCTTAGGATTTAAATACAAACGGGGGACTGACTCTGCTTTTTTCGATAAATTCAGTGACAAAAAAATTGAGTCTAATCTTCAGCAGCAGCCAAAAGTTAGAGACATACAAAGAGAAGAATTAAAAAAAGAACCTGAAAAAGAAATAGAAGTTAAGAAGGAACCAGAAAAGCAAGAACTGAACAAGGAACAAAAACAAGAAGAATTGAAAAAGGAACCAGAAAAGCAGCAAGTGAACAAAGAACTAGAAAAGACACAAGGGAACAAGGAACCAGAAAAGGACAAAAAAGAGAACATGGCTGCTGTGGATTGGAAAACAGTAGACATAGACAGTGTTAAAATACCAGATGAAATTGTTAAGTCAGCAAATGAAAAAATGAAAGTGGAAGAAAAAAAATATAAAGTGATGGTTAGTATTTCAAGGTCTTATCTTCAGGATTTTGACCATGAGTTATTAATAATTGATTCATTTCGTTTTGGAAAATACTACCTAAAAATAATAATGGGAATTAATCACCAGAACTGTTCTCATTCTCATATCTTTAATGTTCCTGCAATTTGATAATAAATCTGTTTTTTTTGTTAAATGTTCATAGAAAATGTCTTTACATAAAAATCTCAAGAATGATAGGAGCTTGGTTTATTACTTTTATGCGATTTAAAAGGAAGAGGTACTAATATGATAAGAGCAATTATTTAAAAAAAACTATCTAAATTCTTCAATTTTATTTAAATGGTGTTAATTTTTTGATGATAAACAGGGGTTGACCCAGAAATATCTCTTGTGTGTGTTACTAATTTCACAGAAAGAAAGCATGCAAATTGAGGTTATACCCTGTTATTATGGAATTGTTTTAGGATTTTTTTCCTCATTTTTCCAAATTCGAGAACTTAAGTATTTTTTAAACAGAAAGTACCAATTTTTTTTAATCAAGTCCTTTTACGGTTTTCAAAACAATCTTCCTTCAAATTCATTGACAAATTGTACACACATTAAAAAGTTTACATTATTGTTTGAAGATTTTTTCCCGTATTTTTCCAGACTTAGTCATTTAAAGTTTTCTAAAGATAGTTACAATTTTGGGTAATCAACCCTTCCTACAGTTTTCAACCAAAATCCTTGAAACTTTACAGAATGTTTGCAAACATAAAGAAGTTGTGTACATACCATTATGCAGTTCTTTAAAGATTTTTCCCCATTTTTCTTTTTTATATTTCCATATGCAATGTTCTAAAAAGTTCATCAAAATAAAAATAAGGAGATATGTGGTATGATTGCCAATGAGACAACTATCCACCAAAGTTCAAATAAAGTGGATGTAAGCAGTTATAGGCAATGGTACGGCCTTCAACAGTGAGAAAACACCATACCGTATAGTCTGCTATCAAAGTCGATTTTCCATTGTCTAAGAAAAATTCTGTGAGTCCTGGGAATTGTTTAGTCTTTGGTAAATTTTTGAATTTCTCTTTTCAGGACTTAAATATTTTTGCAAGAACTGTAAAACCTGAAGGCGAATGCAAAGGAGGTGTTGTATTGTTGCATGGACAAAAATTTACATCCAAAAACTGGGAAGAAATAAAAACACTGCAGTATATCGGAGCTATGGGTTACACACCTATGGCTGTTGATTTACCTAGTAAGTAAATATTTTGCTCAATAGCATACATGTAGCTATATAGGTAAATCTGACCTTTAACATTTTCTGGCAGCAAAATATTATAAGGAACCAATCCCTCTAATTCTAGCAATCCCTTAAGCGAGTTAAATTGTATTCTCACCATTTTAATTGAGGCTTCTAAAGGCATATCCTCTTGCAAGCTCTAAGATCCAATGATGAATTAACCTCATCATTATACATTGTGGATATTGAATGCATATCCTCTTTCAAGCTCATAGATCTCAAAATGAATTAACCTCATCATTATACATTGTGGATATTGAATGCATATCCTCTTTCAAGCTCTTAGATCTTAAAATGAATTAACCTCATTATTATACATTGTGGATATTGAATGCATATCCTCTTTCAAGCTCTTAGATCTTAAAATGAATTAACCTCATCATTATACATTGTGGATATTGAATGCATATCCTCTTTCAAGCTCTTAGATCTTAAAATGAATTAACTTCATCATTATACATTGTGGATATTGAATGCATATCCTCTTTCAAGCTCTTAGATCTTAAAATGAATTAACTTCATCATTATACATTGTGGATATTGAATGCATATCCTCTTTCAAGCTCTTAGAAGATCTTAAAATGAATAAACTTCATCATTATACATTGTGGATATTGAATGCATATCCTATTTCAAGCTCTTAGATCTTAAAATGAATTAACTTCATCATTATACATTGTGGATATTGAATGCATATCCTCTTTCAAGCTCTTAGATCTTAAAATGAATTAACCTCATCATTATACATTGTGGATATTGAATGCATATCCTCTTTCAAGCTCTTAGATCTTAAAATGAATTAACCTCATTATTATACATTGTGGATATTGAATGCATATCCTATTTCAAGCTCTCAGATCTTAAAATGAATTAACCTCATTATTATACATTGTGGATATTGAATGCATATCCTCTTTCAAGCTCTTAGATCTTAAAATGAATTAACTTCATCATTATACATTGTGGATATTGAATGCATATCCTCTTTCAAGCTCTTAGATCTTAAAATGAATTAACCTCATTATTATACATTGTGGATATTGAATGCATATCCTATTTCAAGCTCTCAGATCTTAAAATGAATTAACCTCATTATTATACATTGAAGATTCTAAATACACTTGTACTTATCCTCTTTTTAGCTCTAAGATACAAAAGTGGTTTAGCTTTGTCATTATACCTTCTGGCGAAAAATAAAATAATCTCAGTGCTACACTATAGTATCCTGAAGGATACATACTAGTACTCTCTGTTTCTGATTCAACAAGTACATATAAAGTAAATATTTTGCAACACTTTAGGTAGGTAACATCCCAAAGCTCATGCTGTAGTTTACCTAGTTTATAGAAAAGATAGCACTATTTTTGGAATCCATGTCAAAGATAAATCAATATCATACTTACCCGATAATTTAGTTATTATGGTAATTTTTTCTTTGAACCAATGAGGGATCTATGAAATTTAAGACAAAAAATTACCTGCAGACATGTCTATATGGATTAAATAAGTTATTATCAGATGATATACCTGTATAAGCTGAAAGATTGGTAAGTAGTGATCTGGTTTATACATGCTTTAATAGTCATGATAGTCTATAGTTTAGAAACAAGATTTTGAAAATAAATTTTGAGAGTTTTATGTTCCAGTCATTAACACTGAAAAACTGCTATTCCTTGTCAGGATTTGCGAGCTAGTCCTTAAAAGACTTGAATAAAAGGATATAAAACTTTTTTGATTGATTGATTGATTGGTGTTAAACACCACTTTCAGCAAAATTTCATGGCAGTCAGTTTTTATTGATGGAGGAAGCCGAAGTGCTTGGAGAGCCACTGACTTCTTTGAAAAGTTCAGATTGCAGTACAAACAGAATAATAAACTAGATCAATAAAACTCAATCATAGTGAATAAAATCCAGATTAATGGCATAAATATTAGAAGTTTGATGGACTGAGATCAGTGGCGTAGCTAGACAAATGTCGAAGGTGAAGCTCCTGGATTTTAGGGTTTTAGACCCACAAATATGAACTGAAAATATTGTGAATATTAAGGTGTAGTCAAAAGAATTTTTGTTTGATACAAGTCAGATAATTTTGTGAAAAAAATATATTTTTTCCTCAAAGAAACTGTAAAAACCAGGAGATTCCAGAGGGGTAAAAAAGTTATATTTACTGAGACCAGTATAATAAAAACCACAACATTATAAATTGTTTGGAGATTAAATGTAAACAATATATCCAGTTATAGTGAGTACCCAGGTTAGGGCAGGGTTGGCGCCTTCAAATTAGTTTAACCACGCCACATTCTGTATGTGCATGTCCAAAGTCAGGATCATGTCATTCAATGTACTGGTTGTCTTTTGTTGCTGTATATCATATTTGTTTTTCTTTCATTATTTTGTACATAAATCACGGCCGTTAGTTTTCTCTTTTGAATTGTTTTACATTTGGTATTTCGGGGACTTTTGTAGTTGACTTAGAGGTATGGGTTTTACTCATTGTCGAAGGCCGTACAGTGACCTATAGTTGTTAATTTCTGTGTCATTTGGTCTCTTGTGAAGAGTTGTCTCATTGGCATTCATTACCACATCTCATTTTTATACCTACTGATGGGCAGCGGAAAACAACTTACGAAGTCAACTAAATGGAAAAAGACGAACAAATGGATATATAGGTGATGGCTCGCCCTTGCCTTTGGCTGTATTAAGCAAACCTCATGTAAAAGCTGAGCAATATTTATGACACATCATTATGCATGATTCCAAGTTTCCTGCCATGTTTTTCAGCGAATAAACTAAAAATTCTGTCTTGTTTTATTTCAAAAATACAAACTCAGTAAGGTCATTGTTCGAGGAACATTTCACTTTGTAGATTGCCAGTCAAAACCTTATGCGTTGAAGTGAATTATTATAGAGTCTCGAGTCAATCTCTCTAACCAGTGACTTTAAACAAAAAAGTAAGCCTCCTGTCCTTTTTGGTTGCAAAACAGTCAATAACTTTATCAATGTCAATGGGTGTCTCCTTGTATGCGAAAGTCGTTCTGTTGTCATTGTAGAACGCAGATATGTTTTAACCCGGCGCATGACACTGAAACTGCGTTCAGTGGTGGCAGTGGTCACTGGCATTGTCAAAAGAATAAGCAAACAAGTGTAAATGTTTGGATACAGGTCAACATTGGTCAAATTCAAGCTTTCTGCAAGATTACCAGGGATTTGTCCCTCTGCTATAGACCATCACGCTTTCCACCTTTCTACCTTGATGTTAAAAGTGTGGTACTATCAAAATTCTTATGAGTAAAGAAATTGTCAATTCTGCGTTGCATTGTAACTAGCAGAACACCCCGCAGACACAATATTCGTCTGCTATAAAAAGACAGAAAGTAAAGCGCAGGGGATGGTAACGAACACCGGGAGTTGAGAAGTGATATCGACTCGTTGACTTCAACAACCTCTTTTATTTAACTGCACAATGCCCATTTCTTCCCCTTTCTCTCTCTCTCCTTTTTATTATTTTTTTTTTGTCAAAAAGATGTTGAAGCCTTGGCTTCCGAGCTTCCGCCTAGCTACGCCACTGGAGATAGAAAAAAGGTCACTACCAATGGAATTGTAGGCAATTATCATTTCTTAAAACTTATATCATAGGTTTATGTCAGCAATGTCTCAGACAAGTTAGAAAATCAGTTCCGATCAACTTATTTGAATAGAGTTATGCCATTTTGAAATATTAATGATATGGAAAATTGCATTGTAAGCGCTCTCAATTTTTGCCAGATTTTTTAACAATTTATATCAAAGGTTTATTTGAGCAATGTTTTCAGACATTTTCAAAAATCAGTGCCTATCAAATATTTTTAGTAGAGTAGTGCATTTGCTCTCAAGCAATATATCTCTAAGAGATTTATAAAAAGTTTTAAAAACATTTTTTTTTTGTTAATACCCTTGGACAGATAAAATGTGTGCAACGCGGGGGACTTTGATTTTTGAACCAAGATTTTAATTTCAGATTATGGTAACAGTGATAAAAAAAATGTGGATGATGAACTTAAGTTTATGGAGGAACTGATGAAAGCTATCAATTTTACAGCCCCTGTTATTGTCAGTCCATCAATGAGTGGAGGATTTTCTTTGCCGTTTTTACTCACTGATCCTAAAATTGCTAATAAGAGGTCACATGGATTTATACCTGTAGCTCCTGTTATCCCAGAAAATTACAAGCAATATATAAAAGAATTACAGGTATGTAATTATACAGCTGTTTTACATGGATTTCAAATGAAGGAATCAAGTAAAACTTATATATAGGATATACAAATTTTCTATCAGTAAATATAAACTAGAGGCTCTCAAGAGCCTGTGTGGCTCACCTGTATCTACTGTGGTTTTGGAAAAAAAATCATGGTTAACTGATTGATGTTGGTGTTAAACCCTACTTTAAGCACACTTGACTAAAATCATGGTGGCCAGTTTTTTTATAGGAAGGATATGCCTTTTATGCAGTATGGGCTTTGCTCATTGTTGAAGGCTGAACGGTGACCTATAGTTGTTAATTTCTGTGTCATTTGGTCTCTTGTGAAGGGTTGTCTCATTGGCAATCATACCACATCTTCTTTTTTTATATCTGAGATCATATCTACCGGTGACAGAAAAACTGAATTATAGAAAAAAATCATTTTAATCAGCAGTATTTGTAGATTTTTATGTTTAGTACATGTATAGTGACTCAGTTTTGGTTGAGATATGAGTATTATTTAAGAATATTATTTTTGGAGGAAAAACATACGTCTTCTTCTTCTTATGGTATCCAGTTATCCATCAGATTTTTTATGATTACTAGGATAATTAAAAATAAATATTTACAAAACAAAAGAATACTGCCAAAAATAAATACTACAGTGGCGGATCCAAAGGGGGGGAGGGGGGGTCCGGGGGTTGGAACCCCCCTTTTTTTTTTGACGATCAATGCATTTGAATGGGGACATATAGTTGGAACCCCCTTTTAAAAATGGCTGGATCTGCACCTGTACTAACATGACATGTGATTAAAACTATTTACATAACTACTAAGGTTTACTGTTCTATATTGTAGAGAACAGTAGGTGTCAACTGTTCTCAAAAAATATTTAGTGATGGGGAAAGTACTACATTTTGAGGTAGTAATTCCATTGTCTAATTGTAAAAGGAAAAAATGAATATTTGTAACAGTCTTTAGATGTAAGAAGTTGTCTATTAGTTTGTGGGTGAATTTGTCAGGTTCTATTGTCTGTTGGTATAAGTAATTCTGATGGCACTGTGACAATATGGTGAACAATTTTACAGAACATTATGAGTCTAGTTTTAAGGCTGCGTTGTTGTAAGGTAGGCCAGTTTAGAGTATTGAGCATGTCTGTACTGGTGTTATGAAAATGATTACAGGCATATCTATCAGCCCGACACTGAACCATCTCAAGTTTATTGCATTGTTCAGCAGTTTGAGGGTTCCAAACTGAGCAAGCATACTCTAGTTAAAGCAATAATGGGACAGAGCAGGCTGGGTTGGTGTGGGCTGCTTTCATGGTAATTAAAGTTACCTTTTATGCATCTTCTTCCACCTCAGAGCTATCAGCTCTTTGATTTTTCTAGGAGTTATGCCCCTTTGAACTTGTTGGCCTCAATATACTACTGCAACAGTTTGTCATCGCAACTCCTCTGAAACCACACAACAGAATTTCATGAAACTTTGTAGATAATAAGGACATAATATGTAGATGTGCATATCGACAGGAAATTATGATTCAATTTTTTTTCTAGGAGTTATGCCCCTTTGAACTTAGAATTTTGGCCTCAATATACTACTGCAACAGTTTGTCATCGCAACTCCTCTGAAACCACACAACAGAATTTCATGAAACTTTGTAGTTAATGAGGACATAATATGTTAATGTGCATATCCACAAGAAAATTTTTATCAGTTGACTTTTGTAGAGTTATGAGTCTTTGAACTTAGGAATCTGGTGAGATTTTGTTTGACCAGTGACAATATGGGGGCATGGGGTATGTGAGCATGCTCACAAAGGTTCTTTAATTAGAAAAAGTAACACTGAATAATTCTGAAAATGGAACAAATCAAGGAGGAATTATTAGCAACTCCCCCACCCCCTGGAAAAAATTGCATCCTCCCTGGGAAAAAAATCAAGTCATCCCATTGTAGTCAAAAGACCCCTTATCATTATTTAAATTAGTGTTAAAGTTGTGACCATTTGAAATTGTTTTTTTACATTTTTCCCTTAGACTTCTATGGAAAACACCTTTATTCTATTTTTACCATCTTGGTTGTAGGGTAGGGTCATCAGATGCATTTTTCAATCAAGATACTTTTATAATAATTGTGGCTAAGTTTAATGCCATTTGGCCAAGTAGATGAAGAGAAGATTTTTGTAAAAGATTACAAAAATTTAAGAAAAATAGTGAAAAAATTTACTTTAAGGGGTCAATTGACAATTTTGGTCATGTTTGACTTATTTGTAGATCTTACTATGCTGAACATTTTTGCTGTTTACAGTTTATCTCTATCTATTATCATGATTATAATATTCATGATAATAACCAAAAACTGTAAAATTTCTTTAAAATTACCAATTCAGGGACAGCAACCCAACAAGAGGCTGTCTGATTTATCTGAAAATTTGTTGGCAGATAGATTTTAACCTCATGAACATTTTTACCCAAGTCAGATTTGCTCTAAATGCTTTAGTTTCAGAGATATAAGCCAAAAACTGCATTTTACCCCCTTGTTCTATTCTTAGCCATGGCGGCCATCTTGGTAGGTGGGCAGGGTCTTCGAATAAATTTTTTAAAACTAGATACCCTAAGGATGATTTAGGCCAAGTTTGGTTCAATTTGGCCCAGTAGTTTCTGAGGAGAAGATTATTGTAAAAGTTAACGGAAGACGACAGACAATGACGGACTTGGGTCAGGTGAGCTAAAAGGATAGAAGCTGCAGAAATTGAAATATTTGCTTTAAAATTTGAACTTGTAAACTTAGGATAACATAAATTTAGATACATCTCAGCAATATTGACTTCAATAGCTGTTGGAACTTAACATCTGGTCTTGTAAGGATTCAGACAATATAAAAGTCTGAAATAAACCACTAAACTAGATATACATTTTTATGTTATAATTGACAAATAATTTTATTTGTGAATACATTTTATATAGTGTCCTCTATGTATGAACATTGTTTACCATTTGCAAGAAATTAAGTCAAAACATCAGTTTGGTTTTGGATGAAGTGTATTAATATCAGCTATGTATTGTCAGAATGGGAACATTCTATTTTCATGTGAAAAACTGGTAGGGTCTGTAGCTGGCCTTTTGCAGGAAAATATCTGCCATAATTTTAATACATGTACATGTATAAATAAATATTTGCCACTGGACTTTAGGCAAATAGCCATCAATAATCAGTCTAAGTGGGTTGATTGGTGTAAAATACAGAAAAATTTGACTGCTTTGGAAAAAGAGGGTATGTTTGGTATAGACACACAATTTAATTTTGCAAAAGGTCACCAATGACCCCTCAAAGAGTTATAGATGGTCAGATAGTATTGCAGTCTCACAACATTAGGCATCAGATTTATCTTGCCCATCCCCCCAAAAAAATGTGGCAGGGGATTTATACATCATGAAAATCCCACACAGCAAAATGGACACCCTTGCAGTCTTAATGCCAGACAGGAGAGGCGACCATTTTTCTAGACCAAAGTCAATGTTATTGGCTCTTAATTTAGGATGGTTTGTGTAACCAAAGGAAACAGTGTTGACAATTTGCATAAAATTAGGTCTATACTTATTTTGGATAAAAGTAATGTTCATTGCTCAAAGATCAGTGACAAATATTTGTTGGATATTTAGGACTAGCATTGACAAATTTAAGGATTTGTTCCCAGTGTGATGGAGTTATAAAACTACCTGACTCTTAGGTATGTTGTATGTTAGACTTTAGAAGTCAAAAAATTGCACATATTATATCTAAATGAGAGGCAAAAAAATAACAAATAACAAATAAATTCAATTTTAGATTCCAGCAGCAATTGTTTATGGTGATAAAGATTCAACTTTCAAGAACAGTGTGGAAAATGTTTTGAGCAAATTACCGAACAGTCGACTTTTTAAAATTAAAGATGCTCGTCACCCAGCCTATTTAGATCAACCTGAGATTTGGCATAAAATTTTATATATTTTTCTTCCTGCTGCCTTTAAATAAATTTTGATATATTTATATTGGTAATCACATTATCATGATTATGTAACAAAACCATCATTTTATCAAAAACAAAATACTGCAACATCAATCTGTCAAGCATACAGATATACTTTATTATGTAAACAGTTATCTCCCCTGAAACTGTATTAACTGCCCTTAGACAGAGGTTACTGTATTGTAATTAATGTATAATTGTAATCACTTATATAATTAGCATATTTGTCTAAAATTTCTTATTTCTTATAACAGTGAATATATATAATATTGTCAATTTAATTGAATTAATATTTTTTAAGAATGTTGTAATGTGGTTTGAGACAAGCTACAACATAAATTACCTTGCTAGTTTTCCAGGAAATTGAAGCCCAAACGTTTTTATATATTTCTGGTGATTCAATGGCCAAAACTTATTTTAAAGCTCTGATCAATACATACTGAACAAAAATGTATGCTAGTTGTAATTTTCTCTTCAAAACTGAATGAAAGTTTTGAATTTACATGCCAAGAAATTATCAGTTATCCTGACTCCAATTTGACACTTTTGTTTTTATGGATATTTGATTTCATAATTTTGCTAAAGTCTGTATACAAATTTATAGATAATTGGTACTTTGTTGAACATCTAAATTCGTGGTTCCTCTTTACCCACGAAATCCACAAATATTATTGAATCCACATTAATATTTAAAAAAAATATTTGCCAAGTTGCCTTCTCATGTCCTGAACCTCATTGAACTGTGATGGAAATATTTAATGATGTCTGCTGCTAATTCCGGGAGGGGGGGGGGGGGGGGGGGGGGGGCGGGGGGGCAATGCCTTATCCTGGATCTGCCATTGAATAGCACATTGGTTGTCATGCTATTACTTTTACATGAAAAAACCTAAAGTGGGGAATATAAAAATGTATTGTGGAAAATCTCATGCTTTTACCGGTATTATAATTTAGTGGTGTAAATAAATATTTGCTTTTTTCTATGTCACATAGAGTAACGGTATATTTCATTATAGTGTACATTGTAGACATGTTGGGTAATATTTTGTGTAAAACAATTTAATTGTTATTATTACTGTATAACAGTACGGGAAACATGTTCATGCTAAAATTATTATGCTTTTTATTTTTGTTTTATTATTGGTGCAAATATAATTTGTGTAATAACGGAACAATTATCTAATTTAAGGCCTGCTACCAACAGTGATTTTGTATGAATATGGTATTATATATAGATGTAGAAGGTATATTGCAATAATCAATGAGCATACCAGCCAAGCAGTATAATGCAATAAACAATGAGCTTTTCTACCTAGCAGTATATTGCAATAGACAATGAGCTTACCTACATGGCAGAATATTGTTTGCATTGATTGTACTTTTATTTATTTTTATAACTCCGTTGGAAGGAGTCAGGGGTATATAGGAATCCTTATGTCCATCCGTCCTTCACACTTTTGGTTTCCAGGGCTCTCGGTCATAAAACTTTACTCAGTACTCAGAGTACAAAATTCGTGCTCGAAACACCAAATCCAGGATTTTGATTAATTAATTTCTGAGTCTGAGTACGAAAAATCTTGCTCGAAATTTTTATGACCGCAAGGCCAGATATTAAAAAAATAGAAAGCTGCTCATTGAAATTTTAAGGAAATTTTTTAGATGCCTAAAGGGAGGGTGATTTTAATTTCTCTAATTTACATGCTAATTTCACATTTCCCGATCGGTGTGAGAAAAATATTTCCCATCTCTAGAGAAAACTTCGTTTCCAGCAAATGATTGTACGAAATTCAATTATGGCATAAAATTTTCTTGATTTCTTCTGAATTTCCTATTGTGACGTCACGAAAAAAGGTGACCATGCCTCATGACGTCACATATAAAGAACACAACTTTCTGCAAATCTTTGAAAAGAAAGGCAAAAATTTGTTTAGATATTGTCTAAAAATCCTTAGAGAAACAGATTCCACCAATATATCTGGTGTATTACGATATTTCTTCACTCTCAACAGTTAAATTTTAAATAGTTAAAAAGCTCGACAAGCCTTGCATTTTAAATTTTAAAATTTAACTGTCTCCAGTGGAGAAATATCGTAACACACTTGAATCTATATTTTCCTTGTTTTCACTTATACCATTCCAGAGTAATAGTACTTAATTGTTGGAAAAGGTTTTAAAAAAAATTGGTTTCCAGATGATAAATAGAGACCAGCTTTTGGAAATTAATCAAAATTTTAAAGAGTGTTTTGGACCATTAAACAAAATCTTAACCTCTTTAGCTGCAGGGGGTAATTGTGATCATTAATCACCTCTCTAATATTTTATTCATTTTAGCTCTCACAAATGGTTCAAATGGGCCAGATGAAAACCATGGCATGTAAATGATTTATGTTTCCAATCATTACTCAGTTTATTCATAGATGTCATAATCAGTGGTACAAGCTTCTTATACATTGTTATTTAGTATTTTTGCATATCTTAGACATTGTGTTTTTTTCCATATTCTTTACATTTATTACTTTTATGGGGGGATTTTTTTCCTGCATAGTATAATGTATAAATAGCTGTACTGTTGGGTTTTTTTTACTTAGTAAATGTACTACTTTACTGGACTTGCACAAACAAATTTACAATTTGAATTGATTGTAACTTATACTTACCATACAGGTTGGTATGGTCTGTTCTACTGTCCAATATTTTTGGTAATTCCTGTTATGCTTCTATATGTTTTCTATATCTGTTAGTGATTATTATTATTTTTTTTTTTATATTAGCTAAATTGGCTACAGCAATTTTATTATGTTACATATCTTTTTTTTTATTGTGAAGGTCTCACAATGTAAGATTATTTGAGAGTTTGTCAACATTCCATACTGCAAATTCATAGATTATTTTTGTGCCTTTATTATTACACAATTTCAACATGACAGACCAAAATGTGAGATAATTTATTGCGATTACAGGAAAAGCTGTATACAAATATATGTGTCAGGTTTCAGAATGTCAGTTCTTATAATGGCGATACTCACCCAGTTGCATTATTCACATTAATAAAAACCTTGCAATAATTTATGAATTTCCAATAGATAATTTAGTGAACATTTTTTCGTTCAGTTAATTTAGTTGCTGTTATCTCTACTTTGAAGTGCCATACAATCACATGTAAAGCTACATCAACTTGGGGAAAAACACTATTTTCATATTGGTTATTTTAAGTATTGTTAGATAAGTGGAGATAGATAGAATTACAAAGTAACATGTTTTTGTTAATGGGAGAGCATCTTCAAACTACTATTCGAATATATACATAAGTATGGTTGTATGTTTGGTTGTTAAACAATATCATTTTATTATCTGTATTTCAATTAAATGTTTTAATTGGTGGGCAAATGTTTGAAAAGCCGGTTTTTTTGCCATTCAAAATTAATTTCCAATTTACCTCTTTTTGATATCCCCTCAATAAGATTTAGATGTGAGCAAATGCTATGTCAGTTTACGATTTTTATGCTAATCGAAGATCTTTTGGAATACAAAATGTATTATTGTAGCTAATATTTAAGTTTATCATTAGATGAGCAGGTCCTTCATTCCAAGGATTTTTTGTACTTTATAATCATTCAACTTTTCAGTATAATCAATAAGGTAATTGAGAAAGAATTTGGAAGAATTTGAATTCTGATGGCAATTTAATCGTTCTTTTTATACCTCTTTATTTGATCATCATTATTATTGTTTTCTGTGTAGAGTTATTTTTTTTTATGTTTGTCTGATAAAATAGATTATATTTTGGGAATAAATAACTATACATATTTTCCTCTGTTCATTTATACATATCAAAAGGATGTAATTATTTTTCATAAATTTGTCCATTGAGGTCTTTCCCTTTTCTCTGCATCATTTTCATTTTCAAAATTGCCTCTGAAAGTGCAGGGCGATATATTAAACTACATTTGATAGGAATAGTGTACAGGGAAAGAATCCTTTAGCTCTATAAAAATAAGATGATGTGGTATGATTGACAGTGAGACAACATTCCTCTAGAAACCAAATGATTTTTTTTGGGGGAGTGGGATGGGCTTTGAGAAAAATCTTGGTGCTATTTTTTCATTTCTTCATAGTAATATAATACTGATGATCTCACTTAATACCAAGATTAAAGATTCTACAATGGCTAGAAAAGAAATGTTTATGTACTGGGGTGCAAGTATTACTGGCCATAAATGTGTGAAAAAATTTTCTCCTCATTTAAATTGACTTGATTCTATGTGTTTCTCTTCATCTATTGCAGTTCATTCAAAATTCTGACCCAATTGCATTTGTTTTATCTAATCAAATTGTTCAACTGGTCTGAAATTTTAAAAGACAGCTGTAGAAGACCACACAAAGTCTTCAAAGTGCAAAAAGATAAAATAAAGCATACTTTTCCTTCTTCATAGTTACGATGACAATGTTGCTAAAATTTAATATAGATATATGCATATATTTATTGTAAAGAACCATTTGAAAGGTAAGGTAGTAATTTTTGAATTGCTATAAAATGTCCAAATTATGTTTTCATACTATTCTTTTTAAGAAGTCTTCTATATTTTATCAGACATCCGTTTGAATTAAAACATGTAATATTCAGTAAAATATATTTGAAGTAACAATATGTAATAAATAATGGGGAGATAATCTAATATTAAAGATCCCCCTTATTACCTGCATTTCTGGATACTCCCCTGTAAAACATTTTTAAAAAGATCCAATCGATGTCCAGTACTTTATAGTTTACCTGTCAGATCCAGAGGTAAATCTTTGCTGTCAATCAACCAGTTAACCTCCATAGTAACAACAATTACGGTAAGGACTTGTTTTTGTCTCGCCTTGACATAGGCAAAAAGCAAGACATAGGTATGCTGTTTCTGGCGTCCGCGCGTCAACAATGTGTTAGTTTGTGATTAGGTCTACTTTATGGTGAACCACTAGTGGTAGGTCAATGATATTTGGTATGCAGTTGTATTAGCATTGGCACATCTCATTACCATGGAGATTATTTGGCCCAACCCCCTCAGTCGTGGTCTATTGACTTTGAAACTTTGCTTAGTTTACATGTATTAGTTTGTGATTAGGTCAGTTTATGGGGAACCACTAGTGGTAGGTCAATGATATTTGGTAAGCAGTTGTATAAGCTTTGGCATATCTCATTTACATGGAGATTTTTTGGCCCCGCCCCCTCAGTCATGGTCTATTGACTTGAAACTTTTGCTTAGTTTACATGTATTAGTTTGTGGTTAGGTCAGTTTATGGGGAACAACTAGTGGTAGGTCAATGTTATTAAGTCTCCCAAACGAAGTTTGGGAAGACTTATTGTTTTTGCTCTGTTCTTCTTCTTCTTCTTCTTCTTCTTCTGTTGCTTTTAAATTTGAACTTGTCCGCACCCGTTCTCCAAAACCGCTGGTCAGATTAACTTAGGGTTTCACAATATGTTAGACTAACATGTCTAGTGGTGCAATCAGGGTTTTGTTTGTGCAATGGGGTTTATAAAGGGGTACTTTGAGGGGCAAAAAGAAAAGAGGGTTTTACTGTAGAACCCTATGGGATTTTATTTTTTTAAATTTTCAAATAATTATAAATTGAAAACCGTTTGTGATAGACACAATCTTTTTAATTGAAAATGTTCTAAATGATAAAGCCCATTAAATGAAATACAGGGTAAGTCCCCAGGGGTCACCCCCACCCCCTGCCATTTAAGAAAGTTCTAATACCTTGTAAGTGGTCAAGATCCCCACCCCTAAACCATATATATTTTGGTTTGTTATGCTAAGATGGTTTGAATGATATACAGGGTTAGTCCCCAGGGGTCATCCCAACCCCCTGCCATTTGAGAAAGTTCTAATATCTTGTAAATGGTCGAGATCCTCACCCCTAAACCATATATATTCTGGTTTGTCATGATAAAGCACATCAAATGTAATACAGGGTTAGTCCCCAGGGGTCACCCCCACCCCCTGCCATTAAAGAAAGTTCTAATATCTTCTAAGTGGTCAAGATCCCCACCCCTAAACCATATATATTCTGGTTTGTCATGCTAAGATGGTTTGAATGATATGTAGTGTTAGTCCCCAGGGGTCATCCTGACCCCCTGCCATTTGAGAAAGTTCTGATATCTTGTAAATGGTCGAGATTCCCTCCCTTAAACCATATATATATCCTGGTTTGTCATGATAAAGCACATCAAATGAAATACAGGGTTAGTCCCCAGGGGTCACCCCCACCCCCTGCCATTTAAGAAAGTTCTAATATCTTGTAAGTGGTCAAGATCCCCACCCCTAAACCATATATATTCTGGTTTGTCATGCTAAGATGGTTTGAATGATATACAGGGTTAATTTCCCAGGGGTCATCCCGATCCCCTGCCATTTGAGAAAGTTCTAATATCTTGTAAATGGTCAAGATCCCCACCCCTAAACCATATATATTCTGGTTTGTCATGATAAAGCACATCAAATGAAATACAGGGTTAGTCCCCAGGGGTCACCCCCATCCCCTGCCATTTAAGAAAGTGCTAATATCTTGTAAGTGGTCAAGATCCCCACCCCTAAACCATATATATTCTGGTTTGTCATGCTAAGATGGTTTGAATGATATACAGGGTTAGTCCCCAGGGGTCATCCCGACCCCCTGCCATTTGAGAAAGTTCTAATATCTTGTAAATGGTCGAGGTCCCCTCCCCGAAACCATATATATTCTGGTTTGTCATGATAAAGCACATCAAATGTAATACAGGGTTAGTCCCCAGGGGTCACCCCACCCCCTGCCATTAAAGAAAGTTCTAATATCTTCTAAGTGGTCAAGATCCCCACCCCTAAACCATATATATTCTGGTTTGTCATGCTAAGATGGTTTGAATGATATGTAGTGTTAGTCCCCAGGGGTCATCCTGACCCCCTGCCATTTGAGAAAGTTCTAATATCTTGTAAATGGTCGAAATTCCCTCCCTTAAACCATATATATATATCCTGGTTTGTCATGATAAAGCACATCAAATGAAATACAGGGTTAGTCCCCAGGGGTCACCCCCACCCCCTGCCATTTAAGAAAGTTCTAATATCTTGTAAGTGGTCAAGATCCCCACCCCTAAACCATATATATTCTGGTTTGTCATGCTAAGATGGTTTGAATGATATACAGGGTTAATTTCCCAGGGGTCATCCCGATCCCCTGCCATTTGAGAAAGTTCTAATATCTTGTAAATGGTCAAGATCCCCACCCCTAAACCATATATATTCTGGTTTGTCATGATAAAGCACATCAAATGAAATACAGGGTTAGTCCCCAGGGGTCACCCCCATCCCCTGCCATTTAAGAAAGTGCTAATATCTTGTAAGTGGTCAAGATCCCCACCCCTAAACCATATATATTCTGGTTTGTCATGCTAAGATGGTTTGAATGATATACAGGGTTAGTCCCCAGGGGTCATCCCGACCCCCTGCCATTTGAGAAAGTTCTAATATCTTGTAAATGGTCGAGGTCCCCTCCCCGAAACCATATATATTCTGGTTTGTCATGATAAAGCACATCAAATGAAATACAGGGTTAGTCCCCAGGGGTCATCCCCACCCCCTGCCATTAAAGAAAGTTCTAATATCTTCTAAGTGGTCAAGATCCCCACCCCTAAACCATATATACTCTGGTTTGTCATGCTAAGATGGTTTGAATGATATACAGGGTTAGTCCCCAGGGGTCATCCTGACCCCCTGCCATTTGAGAAAGTTCTAATATCTTGTAAATGGTTGCGATCCCCACCCCTAAACCATATATATTCCTATTTGTCATGTCTCGAACATTTGAATGACGTATACGGTCAGTCCCCAGGGGTTCCTCTCACCCCCATGTTCTAATATCTTGTAAATGGTTGAGATCCCCACCCCTAAACCATATATATTCCTGTTCGTCATGTAATGAACATTTGAATGACGTATAGGGCCTGTCCCCAGGGGTTCCTCCCCACCCCCAATGTTCTAGTATCTTGTAAATGTTCGAGATCCCCACCCCTAAACCATATATATTCTGGTTTGTCATGCCAAGATGATTTGAATGATATACAAGGTTAGTCCCCAGGCATCACTAATGCATATAACTTTACTGGACCAAACCAATTTTCACTGGACGTTGCCCAATGTCAGGCGACCCTGGGAATTACGAATTATGGGAGCTTCGTTTGTGAGACTTCGTAACAGCATCCTGTTACAATCATTTCTTGTTTGTTATGCAGTTGTATAAGCATTGCCATATCTCATTTCCATGGAGATTATTTGGCCCCGCCCCCTCAGTCATGGTCTATTGACTTTGAAACTTTTGCTTAGTTTACATGTATTAGTTTGTGATTAGGTCAGTTTAAGATGAACCACTATTTTTGTTAAGTCAGTGATTTTGCAAGTTACATTTCCATGGAGATTATATAACCCCACAACCTCAGTATGATTCATTGGCTTTGAAACTTTTACATAGTTTACAAGTAAATGTTTGTGTTTAGGTTTGTTTAAAGAACGAACGACATGAGATACCAGTGGTTTGGTATGCAGTTGTATTTGCAGTGGCACATCTCATTTCCATTGAGATTGTTTAGCCCTGTACCTTCAGTCATGGTTCCTTGGCTTTGAATATTTGCATAACTTACATATTAATTTTTAATTTCGACATTTGCATTATCAAAATAACAAATAGGCAAGACATATCTCTGTGTTAACAGCTTATTATAGTAATTACTCCTCATGTCACTTTTATGACAGGAAAAGTGTCTGTGATAGGGGAAAAAGTCATTAAAA